ATTAATATTCAGTGGAACATTTTTAACGTGAGCCTTATTAATAAATTCTCTGAGATCCGACCGACTCTGGAAGGGATTCTGGCATGACAGCCTCCTGTCTTGTTCCTTGGCTAAGCAGAAAGGAGCTTTCTCCTCCAGTATCAAAAGCTACAGGAACAAAAGCTGAGCAGAGCTCTAAAAGTCACTAATGAATTGGGACAGGAAAGGAAGGAGGATCTTTTTTCTCTCTTTGTGACAAATCTTCAAGGTAATTTGCCAACCATATTAGACAGGCAGGGGGTTAACCCAGCAATATATCATCATCTATCCACAGTGATTGAATCGACAGGAAATTCATTTCTATTGACTCTGACCACAGAGTACTTAAAGGATTCTCAGAGTGATCTGTGTAGAAGTATACTTTTTTTTTTCTTTTTTGCAAAATCGATGTGTTTAGGAAATATTTTTATGTTACGTGCAGATATTTTGAAATGCTTCAAGGGGAAATCATTCTATGAAACAAATCCTATTGAATAATTCCTAGTAGCACTAATGACAATAATAGAATTCTTTCTGTACTCTGGATTTTCATCCATTGGAAAAGTTTAAAATGCAGAACAGAAGCTTAACAAGCAACCCAGCATTCCTCGAAACAACACCAATGATTCCTTCTGTGTTGTCCTTCAATCCTTGCCCAAACGAGATTCTTCTGGAACAGTATCCCATCTAACTTTACAAGTGAAATACGAATCTTGTTACATGAAGAGAACAAAGATAAGCCTAATTTCCTCAGCCTTTAGTAAGAAGGTTCTTACCTGGTTGTTCCCATGTGACTCCCAACCTAAAATCAGGCTGGCTTCCTGAAGGGTGCATCTATATATTGTAATACTTAACACGGTTCCTGAACCTAATGAAGCATGGCTGATAAAGAATGGCTGAACCAATAAGAAAATGTGCTCAATTCATTAAGATGAGAACATTAAGATACACAGAGAGTTTTGGATGAAGAACAGAGTTCCTCCTATTTTTTTTTTTAATAACTCTTGGCCCATGCAACTAAGGAAATAATTTTGACCGTTAGCTGTAGGATGTCTGGCAAATTCTGAATCCTTAACAAATACTTGTGGAAGCTGTTAATGAGGGTCCTTTTGTGTGTTTTGCCCTGGCTTACCCACCTGAGCTACACTGTGACACATTTAACTTTTGGGTTTCTACCACTTAGATGAGTTAATATGAATAAACTTTTGCAAAGAATATATGGCATATTATAAGCATTTTATAGGTAGAGTCAAATGGAAACCAACAAATGAAAGATTCCTTATTCAAGTTCAGTATTAAACTTTGATGACTGCTTTCTAAGAAATACCTTGCTTTTCCCCAGTATATACTGCAGAATACCTTCTGCCATTTTTCCTGTTAACTTGGGGGATGCCCATGGAATGTTGCTGTTTATATTTTATCTGTCCTGAATTCTTTTCATTGTCTCGGTGGCAAAAAATAGAATGTGGAATGTTTTCAATTCCCTTTGTTGGGATAAGCCACTTGATCTTGAAAGGATCCCCCATGTTAGCACCAGGATCCCCTTACTCCTCTCCTGGTAATGCTAGTTCAGAGGACTCTGACGAGTCAGCCCAGGCCCTGTCCTGTGAGCTGCGCATGGTCCCAGAGTCAAATGTTGGGAAAGTGCCTTTAACTACAGAATTCAACCCACTTTCCTAAATTTATTCACCTGGCTATGGTTTTAATATTTGTCCCAAAAGTTCATAAGCTAGAAACTTAATCTCCCAAGTCATCTGTTAATGATATTTGGAGGTGGGACTTTGAAGAGTTAATTAGGATTAGATGAGGTCAGAAGATTGGGGCCCTCATGATGGCATTAGTGGCTTTGTAGAAAGAGGAAGAGAGACCCCAGGCTAGCACGCTTGCTCTGATTTGCCACATGATAGCCCCCAACGTGTTATATGCAGCAAGAAGGCCCTCACAAGGAGACAAAGCCTTGCTATTAAACTTCCCAGCCTCTGGAATCATAAGCTAAGTAAACCTCTCTTTTTTATAAACCTCTCAGCCTCTGAGGTATTCAGTTATAGTAACAGAAAACAGACTAAGACATCCCCCAAAATATTACTTTCTAATGAAATGAAAAGACAAGCAGAGTAAAAAATGGAACAAAACTAGAGCAAAACCAGTCCTCTTATTCCTTGCCTTTTTTCTATTGCAATGATCTAAAAGCAATTAAGGTATGAGGATATGCTGACACCAGTTTCTAGTAAGTATACCATTGTATGTTTTAGGTATAAACAAACAGTGAGGTTAAAATGAAAAAAAATCAAACTACATATTTTCCTCTTTATTTTTAAACTAAAGCAAAAAAAATTAGTGAAACCACTAAATTTGATCTTATTTTAGAGGCATTAAAATGCTACATAAAAATCATGTGCCATAAAGAAGAATCTAAGGTATAATTTGATGTCTTCTCACTAACATTCACTTGATTTCAACCACAGTTTAGTGTAATCCTTGTGTTATCAGTGGTTTTCATTCGAATATGTTGTCCTGACTCAGAGCCCTTATCTCTGGGTTAGACTTCTGGGTTGGTACTCTCTATCTACTCCTTTAGCTCTAGAACTTCAGGCCAACCTATTAAAGTTCTTCCTGGGGTGCTCCTCCCAGATTCCACCACTTCTCTCTAAAAAGAATAATTTTATCACCTAGAAGCATTCTGCATCTTTTCCAAGAATTCAATTTAAAATTACTTTTAAAAAAAAAACTATAGATTTTTGCTTATGTCTAAATCCTTAAACATGCAAGATTCACCTAAAATGTAATTTTATCAAAATGAGTTAGAAACCTCTTTGGGCTGTGCTCACTGCCTACCCAAGAATGCATGGACATGCCCACTGTCCTTAAGGGAAAAAGGGCATGCACATGTGGAAAGATGTATGGGGAAAGCATTGCCCCCCAACCTCACCCACAGATTTCAGCTTTCTGGGTTTTCCTACATCTTATCATCTGGTGATACATATCTGAGTCAGAGTAGAAAGACATGCAAAGGAGACAGTATGATTGGATTAAGTTAGCAATTACAAAGTTGTGAGCTTGAGATTTTTACTTCTTTCCTTTCCTTGAAAAGGATAAAGGAATATGCATGGATGGGAAAATCTGGTCCTGGAGTCACGAACCTGAAACTCCCCACAACTCTCCCCTCTCCTGTGATGTGGAGGAGGGGGGCTGCTGGGGTGGGGTGCAGAGGAGAAGAAGGTCAGTGGGAAGAGAAAAGGAGGAGGAGGAGGCTGGAGCCATTGAGAAGAGCAAGATGGAAAGAGGCTGAAGCCAAGGAAAGAGTGTGGCCTCGCCTCAGGCACCCACCAAACGACTCCAATTAAAGCTTTGAAAACAGGACCCTGCCGGAAGCTCTTTAAAAAGCCACAACGTTTTCTTCATTACAAGGGCAAGTGAGGAGAGAAAATAGGGCTAAGAGCAAGACACGTGGAAGACAGAGCAAGGAGGGAGAGGGCCAAACCGCTCCCCTCATCATTCTGCCCAAGGTGCAGAAAGCATTTCTTAATAAAGTGTGAAGTTTCAGCTGAATCCAAATTCCTAACTTTGGAAACAAAGCCAGGAGCCACTTAGGAAAAACAAAATCTTTTCTTTTTCCTAAAGTGAAGAAAATCTTGTGTTTTTATAATGAGGTCTTTTCCACCGTGAAGAGCCTTGACTCTTCTTCCACTCATTTACTAGAAGAGGCTGGAACAGAGGAGGAACTCTTTTCAGGCCCTCGTTTAACGAAGGTTGGCAGAAGACTCTAATTGACTCATCCCAGTCAATCGCACAGTCTGCTAAATTCTGTCCCCAGGAACCACACACAGGCACAGCTGTCTTCTTCTCCATCATCAAGTTATGCAGAATGTCTCAGTGAGAGAATATGGATTGAAAAATTATACAACATACACATTTCTCCAGCTATTTCCCCAGCAGTGGTATCATGATTGATAATGTGCTTGGGAAAAAAAAATAATAAACTTATTCCCTACCTTACTCTATGTATAAAATAAATACTAAGTGAATTTAAATGCAGTAAAAAAGAAAATTTAGAATTTGGGATTATTTTAGAGTTAAGAAAAATATTCTTAAGATAAAAATCCTGAAGCCATTTTTAAAAAAATAATAAGAGGCCTATTTGACTAGATAAGTATTTCAAAATCTTTTGGGAGGGGGAGGCAGGTACCGGACTACTCCACCACTGAGCCACATCCCCAGCCCTATTTTGTATTTGAGTTGCTTAGCGCCTCGCTGTTGCTGAGGCTGGCTTTGAACTTGTGATTCTCCTGCTTCAGCCGACTGATCCACTGGGATTACAGCTGTGTGCCACCACGCCCAGCAAATATTTCAAAATCTTATATTTAAAAAATCCACAAAAGATATGGTCACTCAACGGTGCCAATATTTAGTTAAATAACCATGTTAACTAAATTCAGACAAAGGTAATCATTCAAAATGGCAATAAGGAACCTGGTGTTCCAACTCTGACTATGAAGTAAATGTTACTGTAGTCTATACACCTGGTCCATGGTTCCCTGAGCTCTGGCCACCTGTCTCAGGATTTCTCACCCATGAGTTTTGAGGGCAGCTATTCTCACAGACATGGGGATCACTGGAAGCCACCGAGTCACATACCTCTCGGTCTACCTGTTAACATTCTCAAAGGTTGTCAGAATATAAAGAGAATGTGGCTGTGAATTCTTTGTACAGTGAAGAAGAGGGAGGAAGGAGCAATCAGCCTCCAAACAGAAGTTTTCATCCTCAAAATGGTTGTGATAATATTATACCACTATATTTTTTTACTATGAATACGTTTATTGGTTTATAAAGTATATAAACATTTTGCAGAGATATTCTGTATAAGAAGAATAAAGGAACAAGTAAAAAATGGAAAACAATCACGTTAAGTCTAATTCCTCCTCCTTCACTTTTGCAATGAGATAAATGATAGGGTGGTATATGTGACCTTGCAAAAGAATTCCTTCAAGTGTTTCAATTTTTTTTTTAATAAAATGACGTCAGTTGCCAAAAGCATCACATCCTTTGTTATGCTACATAATACTGATACAAAATGTGAAAAGTACAAAGATTGTTATATATAATATAAGGTTTTAATATATTACATTTGTTCTACATAACAGACTATAAATATATGTGCCATAGCATGTTTTATAGTCATTGTTCCCAGCGTCTCACACTATGGTACCAAATGAAAAAATACATTTTCTTTCTGTCTTTTCTTTTCTTTTTTAAAGGAAAAAAAAACAAGGGCAAAAACCAGTAGAAATAGCTTTATATGTTAAAAGTCTAAATAATACAATAGATTTTGTTAAAACTTTGGCTATAAGGTCATTTTGAAATCTGGCTAATAATCAATTCAATGAGTGAACAAACCCAATCAGGCTATCTGGAGTGTAGAGAAGCCGAGTAACTAAAATACTGAAGGGCTGGGGATGAGGATGGGGGAACCAAGGGACAAACCCTTCCTACAGCTTTGCCACCGCAGCTGGACACTGAGCCCACAGCATTCAGTCCTGGACACATCCCATCAGGACACATATGTAGGCATTCATCCAGAAGAAACCAGAAACTGGTTGGTGCAGTTGGAGTCCGTCAACATGACAGGGAGCCTCGGGCTGAATGTCCCTTCTTTGTGGCGCTCTGAATAAAGGATCGGCCTGGGAGACAAGGAGCCAGAGCCTCATCATTTCCTTCCTGGGGCTCAGCCAGGAGACACGTCAGGGTCCGGAAGGAACTCTCATCAGGAGTCGGAAACAGCACCAGGAACTCGCCTTTAGTCCAACTGGGAAGCGCACGCAACCTTCTAAAACCAGAACAGAAACCTTGCTGAACCCTTTACATTTCCCGAGGGATCGAGGGATCATGCACCACTTCCCCAGAGCCACAAAGCGCATCCGCAGCCTCTGGCACTGTCTCCATAGCAAGCTCGCATCTTCCTTTCCTTCAGTTCACATCCCACACTTGAGGCGGACTCGCAGCCCATGTGCTCAACCAAGCCTCCTAGGTGGACTCGGCCCTGCAAACCGTTCCCATCTCCAACACCTAAGGCACCTACACTGCTTGGTTTACCTTCTAGTTTTTAAGTTGCCACTTCTTTAGGAGGGCTGTTCCTAGAACTAGTCTCTTGTTCTAACCATGCTGAGACCCACAGCAGGGTGCATTATACACGCTTTTTAAATGAATGAAAGAGAGAATTCGGTCAACACTGGGAGAAGACACAAACACATTCTTAGGTCACAAGCCACCTCTCAGGAAATGCCTAGAGGACGAGCCCTGCAGTCCGAGGTCCTTTTCTGAAAGGAAAATCAAATGTGGTTACTTCCGGGTGGTGGAAAGAACAACACTTGACAATCTGAGCAGCACCTCTCATGTGATTTACAGGAGTGGGGGGGAGCTCGGGCACCTCCTTTTAAACAGGAGGACAGCTCAACGTGGTCCCGGTATCAGGCTGGAGAATCTGGGCTGTGCTGCCACCTTGCACTCCAACCTCCACCAGCTTTAAGAGTTCTGCCTCCTCGCTGGAGTACACCGTGGTGTCCGTGTCATCGGAGTGATACCCAGACTGGTAGCCACTGGTCTGGTTTGAGCCTTCAGATGCCACCGACTCCCTGCTCTTGCTGGGCATCATTCCACTGTGGAAGAAATGGCAAGCAAGTGAGTTGGAAGACACAGGACAGTTCTTTGGCTTTTCACCCTAACCCCACTCCCAGCTCCACGTGGGCCATAATCTCCCTGGAGACACCAGCTCCCTATCTCTCTCACTTGCTAATCGGCATATCATGTTTGCTCAGACAAGGTCTATTTTCAGGTACTAGCATGGACTAGTAGATGCAGATAAGTCCTCTTGATCAGGTCCAAGTCTTTCAAGCCCAGGATGAGATGAAAGGCAGTTCTGCTGAGTTGTGCACAGGCTCCAACCAATGGAAGATTTTTATGGTCTTGCAGACTGACGAGTTTGTATACAATGATAACAGCCAAAGGGCCTCTTTCATGATGTTAAAGGAAACTGGGACGTTCTACAAGTTCACTTGTGCTTTCCCCATTCTGTCAATTAGAGGACCACAAGGTATGGGTAGGGTGTTAATAAAGTTCTTGAGCAACTTTAAACTTTGCTAACTTCAAGCGTGTGTGCAATCAAGCCAGACATGTCAAAAACTGCTCTTTGCTCATCAAAACCACATTCCTTGGATGGACTGAGGCCCTGATCACTCAGCAGCAACTGGATAATGTGCTCAATGGCATAGTTAACAAGGTCAAAGCTTAGAAATACAGGCTGTGTGGATCCAAAACTTCAGGATTTACACTTTCTCAAGCCATTCTAAGATGTCTTTTCTCCTTAATAGACATTCTGCTTAAATTATTCATTTTCACAACTTCATAAAATGGGTTCTGTTAACTCTGTGTTCACTTGTGATTTAAAAGTTATTTCAAAGAACTACAAATACAATTTTTCTTTCAATCCAATCACAGTAAAACTAGTTTAAGTGTCTCAAGCAATGGTATGATGCCTGGCACATAGGAGCTGCTCAATAAATACTTTAAATCAATATGTGAAGTATATAATTGGCTCTCACAATTTCTTATTAGGCACTAAATAAAACAATAAAATCACACAATGACATTTGTTATTATTACTATTATTACAATAAACATCTCTCAAAAACCCATGGGTGTTCCCATTTTATACAGCAGTTATGGAGATTAAAATCACTTTCTGTTCTTACATAGAGTGAACCCTCTAGCAAATGAATAACTACTCTTATTCTATTACTTTTACAAATATAGGTTTTCATAAATATTTTATGCTAAAAGCAGGTACACCTATTAAACAACAATAAATTCCTACTGAACCATATGGGGGAGATTATATTCAAAGTCAAATTTAATGCTCTTCTCACAGTTAAATACTTAATAATTCAGACAACAGCATTTAAGCATCTTAATTAAATAGATATGTATCTATTGACATACCATACTTCTTAAGAACAGATGCATTCATTTATATGCCAGTTTGAAAATTCTTCAGAGTCCACAAAGATTTTAATCATATCTCAGGGGTCACATCCAATGACCCTTTTGTTATTTAGCCAATACCGTACAAACTACTGGCCATAGTAAGCATACTCCAAAATTCCCAAGTGTTTGCACATTTGGTCAGAGAAATTGACCAAATCTTTTTTCATGGGGGAGAGACGGTGATATGCTTTAGACTGGTCACTTAATTTCATTATTTGGTTTGTGTCTATTCTTTATTATGTTGCTAATTTAGGATGCTAATTTCCCCAACCATCAAAGATATTACATGGAATAGCTACACTTACATTGGAAGTCCTAAATTTCTTCCAAAATTTCCTATTGAAAATGGTCTGCTTTTATTTGACTGTTTCTTACCTAAAAGATGGAGCTAACTTGGTTCTGTCTTCCAGAGTTTTCAGCTCTTCTGATGCAAGAACCATACCACTGTCCGTCTGGTTGTCCTTTTTAAGAGACATTGAGATGGTACAGTTCATTGAGTATATTCTGATTTCTTAACCCAAATCTATCAGACAGTACCCTCCAACTTCTTGCCAAGGAAGGTAAAGGTACCCTAGGCAGGATATTGAGAAAGCTGCTGCTAGGCCAAGGAGAAGATAAAATGTGGGAAGAAGCTGAGGATGCCTGCTTCCATCCCTCTTTTTCACCAGAATCCCTTTGCACGTAAGTGAAATTGAGCATAAAGCTAGACGACCTTGAACCTCAGACCAGGCACAGTTCTTATGAAAACACCCAAGTTCCATCTCCATAATGACCCCATGACACATACTCTCAAGGACAGCCTTATAATGAGGCTCCAAGACTCTAATGCTTAGGCTAATATTTATCTAGCTAGTGTTTCATCGTTGGTATTATTTCTAAGACTATTTTTAAAAGATGTACTTACATCTGGGATTACTTTTACTTCTGGTTCTTCCAATGGGATATCTTCAAATGTTTTTACACTTACTGGCCGGCTCTTTCGCTTACTGTTCTGCAGATACTGACTGCAAAAGAACAAATATTTGTATTTGAGCCGTGGTATATTTGGCTGCAGATACCACAAGCAATACCTAAGTTCATTATCTTTCAACCACAAGTTTAATAGCAACCTTCCAAACATCCTTTAGAAAAAGAAACACAAAACAAAACAAAAGTCTTTCTTTGCTAGCTCACACTGAAGGCTTAATTTCCTGTGAAAGTCCATTTAAAAGTATAATATAACTGCAGAGCCTAGAGGAGGCCCTGTTCCTTTGAATCTTCCTTCTGAGGTCCAGTACTTGGACTCTAGACAACAACAGCAGACTGAGTGATCAGCTACTTTCTCCTTGGCCCTGTCTGTATGCAGTTCCCACATGGAGCTCTAGGTATTTTACAAAGTCTTTCACATCTTTCCAGCCATCTCCTGGAAAGCTGTTCTGGATAACGTTCACAGAGCAACCTGGGCATAAGAAACACCTGCAGTTCTCCCTAAAGGAGACGGACTCAGGAGTGATCTGAAGACAACGCCTTCCTTCTGCACGTGACAGGGGCCTACTGCACGCCCAGGAAGGTGGGCGGAGTGTCACCACCCACTGTTTCTATGCTCCACAGTAGCATTTCTCAAGAAGGGCAGTGGCTTGAGGGTTTTAAGATATTTGTATTTCAGAGTCTATCATTGATAAGTAACAGGGCAAAGGCTGAGCCTAGTATTGGTAGGAAGAGTAATGCTTTATCAACCAAAGCTTATTGTTTCCTTTTGAATTCCAAGGGGTGACCGGTTCCCTCAGAGGCCTAAAGAATGAGACTTGGCAGGCAGCAGATCACCTCTTCCCTGGGAGACCTTCCTCCCCTGACACAAGGCTTTGGGTGAGTCTAGGTGATGCTAGCAAAGCCACTTACAGTCCCCAAGTGGAGAGAAGGGAAGGTCTTTTCATGGGGACAGAAAACAAGTCTTCCCTCATCTCCACCTACTTCTCATCCCAAGTGGCTTCTGGAACATGTGGCACAGATTCTGGGCCAAAGGAGAAGGGAATCTGAGTCTCTCTCCTCTTCCCCAGCACCCTGGTTCCTCCCCTGAGTGAGGGGAGCATGAAGTTGACCAGTGACATCCTCACTCTGAAAACTCCACAAAGAAGAGGACATGACATACAGAGAACAAGCACGATCCATTTTTGTCCAAGTTCAGTCCCCAAAAGTAGTGGCTGCCCAAAACCACTAGTACCATAGTCAACCATTCAGGAAGCCTTTACTGAGAATCTGCCACACGCCCAACTCTGCTCTGGATGCTCTGCCACCATCATCTCATGGTATCTTCACCACAGTGGGGGGTAAATACTCCAGGGGTGGGATTATCAACTCAGCTCTCCAGATGAGAAAATTGAGGCCTGCAAAGGTTAAAGAACTTTTCCAAAGCCACACGACTAGAATGTCTGGAATTATTTTGAAGACAAGGATTTTAAGCACGAGAATGATGGTCAATGATGTACCCTTTAGGAAGGTGAGACCAGAGGCAGTGAGACCAGTTAGGGAACACTGCATTTATCTGGGAGGAAGAAGGTCAGCCTGATTGAAGAAAGGGGTACCCACTGGCTTTGGAGAAGTGAACGGATTCCAGAGACACCTGGGTGGAGAACCAGCCAGCACCAGCAGGCTCGGGCAATGACGCAGCCGCCTTCAGATCCTTGAATTCTGAGCCCACTAATTTAAAAAGTAGCATGGTCCAGACATCTTCACAATACTATGAAATAGAACTTCTTATTCCCATTTGGAAATGAGGAAGCCGAGGTTCAGAGAGAAAATGGTGAATAAAGAGTAGAACTGAGATTCAAATTCAAGTTGGCAAGAAAGTGGTTTCTTTCTTTCCCTACTCCACATTGACTCTCTTGGAAGAAGGAGAAAGGAAAAGGTAGAAGAGACTGGAAGACTAGACCATTCAGGTCTTTATTAAGCACCTACTATGTGCACAGCCCTGTTCTCACACCTGTGTGCGCCGATCATGTAGTGGGCAGCGGGAAGGCTAAGGGTGGGGTGTGGAACAAATGAAATCTGGAGAAAGGACAGTCTCACTTCAAGCAGCCTAACCTCAGAGCCAAATGCAGCCCTGCCGGCTGTCCCAGACATCAATCTACCAGAGGCATTTAATCACCACCAACAATTAAACAGAATGAAGAAAATGGCAGGCACCAAAGCCTTTCTTTGGGAGAGAACTGTAAAGAAATGTTTGATAAACTGCTGGGAGTGGGAGATGAGACTCCCAAAGGAAATGACAGAGTAACCACAGATGGTCCCCAAACTGACCTCAAAGAGATGAATCCAATGAATATGTGTTTTTTTTTGCAGGAAGCATGCAAATTTGGGGCCAGAGCTGACCTACAAGGGAAATTAGAGACAAAGCTAAGTCTAGACAGAAGTGGTCCTTTCCCCACACACTTCTCAGCCTCTTCTCTAAATAAAGGCTGAACAAATATTTTTCAGATAGTTTAAAGGGGGCAACGAACCAGGAGCTGGCTCCCGCAGCGATGTCTCTGTCCAGCTCTATTTATAATGTGATAGAGTTGAAAATTATAAGGAGAAAGCAAGTGAGAAATCAGCTTTTCGACTTGGCTGGAAAGAGGACAGAACAAGTCCCCAGAAAGGTACCCCAGCCCCGTTGCACTCTCCCCAAAAAAGCAGTGCCCCAAGATGAAGTGCGTGTGTAGATGCGTCCAAGATGATTAGAAGGTCAGTGTGAGTTTTATTTGTATGAAAGAAAAAGAGGTAGAGAGAGTTGGGAGGGGACGCAGACAAAAGATTCCAATTTCCATTTTATTTTTTTTAAATTATAGCTGGCTTAAAGAGAAACGAGCCTGGGAAGACCACTTCAAGACAACTCACAGGCAGAAAATAGGAGCCAGGCCTGTGCTGGGAGGATGGTGTCACATTTGTCCACGCTTCTGGGGATAAATGTTAACAGCCCTTTTTTAGATGCAGCATTGCACTTGGCACTTTCATCACACACACATGACTTCATCTTCTGTTCAGTGCCGTATGCAAAGCGCCCAGGAGAGCCAAGAGGCTGCCAGCTTGGATCTCCACTCAAGTTGGTCACAGAAACACGCGGAATACAGCTCACCCATCAAATGGCTCTCTGATGGAGGAGAAAGCAATAACCATGTTGCAGGAATGGGGATCAGGCTAGAAGGGCAGATGAACTTGAACCAGGAATTCGTATAGTCTCTCCCAAGCCACTGAATTCACGGTAGGAAAAGCCTACGTGGGGATGAATTAAATGTGGAAAAATCTTTTCTCTCTGAAGGCCCCTCCTTGGCATGGGAGAAAACAGCAGAGTTAGGTACCAGAGGAACTGGGTTTGTCTCAAGGACGTGACTATAAGTAACTCACTTAATCCCTGTCCTTTATTAAGCGCTGTCGCGTGCCAGGCACATTATAGCTTGTGATTCTTCAAACAATCATTTTCAAACAGCACCAGTTGCCTCACCGCATTTCACAGATAAAGAAACTGAGGGAGAGGTTATATTATTTGCAACATGTCATGGAGTGCTAAAAGCCAGCCTTGGAAGTCCCACCCAGTTCTACCTGACTCTAAGGCCTGCATCTTTAACCACGGCACTGAACGGCCCACAGGCCATGGGGCTGAGCCTCATGGTCAACATCTACATCCAAAAGAGATCACAGTTTCTACCTGGCCTGACTCTGAGTTGTCACATGGGCAAAGTCTGATAATACATGGAAGAGTTATTCAAATAATGCAGGATGCTCTTGACACCAATGGAATGGCGGGTGGCTCGCTGGCTGGCTTCTAACGGTATCACAGGACTCCCGCTGCCCTGCAGGATTCCATGAGGCTTCCCCAGCTTTCCTGAGATGTGGCAACCTGGGGCCACGGGCTGGACACAGGAAGGAGCTCCTTGCCTCAGCATACAGGAGGGAGGGCTGGGCCCACGCTGTCAGGGGTTCCAGTTAGAAGAGGAAAACACCAAAAGCAAAGTGACGTGGCCCCAGCCTTAGCAAAGGCAATTTTAATATTATGTTGGAAAAAATGGCACCAACTCTTTCCTGATGCACAGGTGCTGGGAGACAGAAAAAAAAAAAAGCAGCCGCCTGCAGACCCTTTACAGCTCAGGGCAGGACTGCAGAGCATGTGTTTTAAATAAGCCCAGAAGCCCCATTTTGCAAATAAAATACTGAAAGTCAGATGCAGAGAGGCTTCTGAGATGTGGTGTCCAGTCTACCTCAGGACAGAGCCCCGTGGCATGCTGTGCCTTCGCCAGAGAGCCATACGTGTGTTTTCATATATGCAGAGAACTCTTCCTCCCTAAATCTCTCCTAAGCCATTTAATTCACATTAATAAAAGCCTACATGGGGACGGTTTCAATACAGATGTCTTGGTAAAATTGTGGCTCTCTCCGGAGATTAACAAACTGTGGCATTCCAGCTATTTGCAGCTGCAGGGCTTAGAATTCTTGAAGGAAGAGCTGGGCAGCAACATGGGCTACAGATGGACAAGCGATCAGCTCCCCAGACCCTCCTCAAGGAGCATGGCCCGTGATATGAGTGTCAGGGATTGAGGTCCCTGGAGTGTGATGCATGTGGCAGCTTTATAAAATGTCTTCCTTCCAAGCCCCCTCCCAGAGATGGCCTTGAGCCCCCCAGAGGAAGCTGGCCATATACGAACCTGATTCCTGCTGTGTTGTCATAATGGAATTTGGGGTCACACACTTCCTCTTCCTCCATACAGGAAACAGGTGAGGTAGGCAGAGAGAGTCCAGAATCCTCTTCCATGCTCAGAGTCTCTGATATGGGAAGAACAATGTAGTCTTTGCCATCCTGAAACAATAAACACGGAGCATTCTTGTTATGGCTTTGGTCCTTCAAGGGCCTTTTCATGAAAAACACAGGCCCCGGGGGGCTTCTTGGGTCTGGGGTGTGCAGCTCTCAGAACAACTGAACTGACTTTCAAGACAATGTTCAAAACGATTTGTCAAACCAGAAGGGTGCTTGGAAGGGATGTGTGCATGAGAGTATATTCAAGGAGTCTAGTAAACACAATATGGGTTCAGGGGCCACGGAGAACTGTGGTTACATGGGACGAAGAGGTCGTAGTTGTGGAGAAGGAGAGAAACCATTTCTCGACCGTCAGACCCTTCAAAGGGCACAGCATCCCATTTTAGCCTCTGCCCTTCAAGGCAATGGAAAAGGGGATGGCAGCCTAAAGAAAAGCAAGAAATGGGTAGGAACATGGATTTTCCGAAAAAAGATGTTACAATTTAACAGTATGTCTCAAGAAAAAGAAATAAAAGTTAATTTGACATGTTTCAACACTTGCAAGGTTTATTGATAAAAACAGATTTGACTCATCTTCCCCCGAGTTGTTCTAAAGAAAAGAAGGAGGAAACTAGCTTCCATTGTAGTGAGAGATGTTGACTGGAGATCAACTTTCTAATGATAAAGGCCACGACTATGTGTGATTGGGAGTTATAATAGCTGAGATTTTTTTTACCAAGAGGGGAAAATTCATCTATCTTCCATAGTTGGGATATAGTTTTGCCTGCAGAATTTATTACAAATTACTTAAATTTCCTTCCACTGTTGATATTCTGTGGATTGACCAGATTTTTTTTTTTTTTGTAAACTTTGGAAGACTATTTGAAGAGGTAACAAAAAGATAAGTAAGAAGGAATAGGAGTGATCTGCTCCCAGATTATGAATTAGGATCTCATCCATCTAAAGGGTAATTATAGCTTTTAGAAAAGTGCCGTCGCTTACATCTAGAGACCATCTTGTTCAGTGGCTGAGAGAGAAGAATGGTAGCCTTGAGAAAGGACAAGCAGTAGAGGCGTCTTTGCATCTGAGTACTCTATGTGGAAGTTTCTCAGATGGAGGCTTACAAACCTGCTGAGCGTTCGCTTGTAGAAGATTTCCCAAATGTTCCACCAACTCTGAAAACGTGGGTCTCTGGTTGGGCTCCTCATGCCAGCAGTCAAGCATGGTCTGGTACCTAGAGGAGCAAAACACCATTTGCATTATCTGCCTTTTCCCTCCCAGATCTGATGCTCAAAACAAGCAGCCGATTGGTGAGCGTTTATAAAAAGCCTACCATGAGCTGAGATGCTGTATCTCTGTAGCCTGGGGCCCTATCCTTGGAGGTCCAAGTGTGTAGAGAAAAGAAAGCACATTCCATCTAATAAGAGCTGTTCAGTATGGACAATAAAATGCTGTTGTTTCAAGAAGCAATGGTTCTGTGTTTGAGATTATGGAGAGCTTCAAGGGGAAAGGACACAAACTAGGCCCAAAAGGAAGATGAACATAAAGGAAAGTCCCCTGGGCAGGGAGATTTGCAAGGAAAAGGATCAGAAGGGGACTTTGTAAAGCCTTACATTTCTGGTGTGGTATAATCAGGGGCCCTCATTCTTGTTCCTTCTTTCAATCGCCTACAAAATTCTTCATCAATCTTTACCCCCGGATATGGAGAAGCACCTAGAACAAAACAGGAGAGGGGCATAACATGACTTCATTTTCCCTCCCAGGAGGCCCTGAGCCTGATTCTTGAACATCCTGATCGCCTATGTGTATTTTTTTCCTTCTGGATTTTACAACCCGTAGCTTCCCAGAAATTCCACGTGACGGACACAGAATACTGGAGAGAAAATGACATCCTGACATCATCAACTTTTACCATCCTATTGGGAGTCTGGGGGCTAGGGACAAAGAGAAGCAACTTACCTAAGGAAAATATTTCCCAGAGCAAAACACCAAAGGACCACACATCACTCTGAATTGTATACACTCTGTCAAAAATTGTTTCCGGGGCCATCCACTTCAAAGGGAGGCGGGCCTAAGAGGATGGGAGACAAGAAATCAGAACCCAAATTAGCAAATAACTGAAGAAAACACTTCCTTTGTTCTTGAACACAGGTCCTGTAGCATACTGTTGAGGCGTTTGAATTCCACAATTTAATAGATCACCAGGCTCATCTTTGAAACTTACATCTCCTTTTCGGACATAATCTGGGTCTTTGTAAATATCCCGGGCCAAGCCAAAGTCACAGATTTTAACCACGTTCTTCTCTGACAAGAGGATATTTCGTGCTGCCAGGTCCCTGTGGATACACTGAAAAGAAAATTTTATATATATATTAGGTCTCTGCACAGCTGACCTTCTCTTCTACATCTGTTGTGACCTCATGCTTCAAAACAATCCCACATCACAGAAGCAACTGATTAACAAGGACTGGGCTAGGATCTTTATCAACACTTCAGGAAAGAAGTCTGTGAGCTTCGCTGAGATGCACATCTGTTTATTCCATAAAGAGCCCAGCCTTCGGAGCTGAATAATTTAGTTGTAGTGTAATGATGGGGTCATAAATAGACTTCTGTAGGCCATTAAAGAATGTGTTTCTGGTCACATCCACACATCCCTTTTGCCGGTGCCGTGTATGGTTAAAAATGTACTATTCTAAGGAGGTCCCTGAATGGATTATTTTGAATGAATGCACGGAAGTCCAAAACAAGGGCCCCTATTCCACATGGACTGAAGCTGGACTGGCTGAGGCAGGTAGTTCTCAGAGGGGCTCATCCTGTTTCCAAAGTGTTAGGTTTTACCATAAGCATCAATTACATAGTGGGTAGGGAGGCTGAGGCAGGAGGATTGCAAGTTCAAAGCCAGCCTCAGCAACTTAGCAAGACTCTAAGCAACTCAGTGAGACCCTGTCTCTCAATAAAATACAAAAAAAAAAGGGCTGGGTATGTGGTTCAGTGGTTAAGTACCCCTGAGTTCAATCCCACAGAACTCCCAAAAAACTATTACAGCAAATTCAGCCTATTGTAAGTCGAGGTGATTCTCTAGTGCATCGAAAAGCAGGATGAACTCATCTTGGCTTCTAATAAAATCTATTCTTTTCTGCTTCTTGATTTTCCTTTTCTATCTGCTAACTTCATCTAACTTCCTTCAACTAAGCAGTTCTCATAATTATTATCATAATTCTCATCTAAGATTACAGGATAAAGTCGTGAGGGATTAAGAGTCTTAGAGGACATGAGAAATGAATGAAAAGCCTGGATGAGAGGCTGAAGTCAATGCGGCAAGGTCACAGGGGCCAGGCATTGCTCACCCTGCCATCCTGCACCTGGACTGCTCCCAGAACCAGGTGCATTCAGCAGCACCTTGTCTAGCATGATGCAGCACCAGTACTACAAACACTGTACTTCCTACTCTCCTTCCAACCAAAGAACTTCCTTTTTTTGTTTTTGTTTGTTTTTTTAGATTTACATGACAGTAGAGTATATTTGGACATATTACACCATTTATTAAGTGGAGTATAACTTATTCTAATTAGGATCCCATTCTTGTGATTGTACATGATGTGGAGTTTCACTGGTGATATATTCGTGGATGAACATAGGACAGTGATGTCCTAGTCATTCTACTGTCTTTCTTATTCCCATTCCCCCTCCCTTACCTTCATTCCACTTTGTCTAATCCAGTGAACTTCTATTTTTCCCCTCCCTGCCCTTCCTTGTTGTCACGTATTAGTGAGAACATTCAGCCTTTGGTTTTGGGGGGACTGCCTTATTTCACTTAGCATGATATTCTCCTGCAAATTGGTGCAACTACTCTGGAAAGCGGAATGGAGATTCCTCAGAAAACTTGGGATGGAGCCACCAATTGACCCAGCTATCCCACTCCTCAGCATATACCCAAAGGACTTAAAATCAGCATACTACAGTGATGCAGCCACATCAATGTTTATAGCAGCTCAATTCAAAATAGCCAAGCCATGGAACCAAGCTAGGTGCCCTTCAATAAATGAGTATATAAAGAAAATATGCCATGTATACATGATAAAAATTCCCTTTTAAAACCCAGCAGCCAGGTAATACCCAAGAAACCATCTGGTAGATCCAAGAAAAGTCAATACCTTCCAACCCTATTTCCTTCCTAGTTGCCAAAAGGAAGCCTGACTAAATGGTGAGCTTCAGCTTCAAATAATAATAATAATAAATCATAATATGCAAGAAGGGCAAAAGGCCTTTCTCTCGGGGAAAACCCTGAAAGGCTCTGGTTTTCTCCCTTGCTGTTGGGAGAGAAGACTCCAGAAACATCTGAGGTCCAGAGGCTTTAGAAGCTGTGATGGGCTTTAAATGTCAGGGGAGAAAATGGGTTAGGGGTTTCACTGGAAAACAAAACACTTAGGTCTTTCCTTCCTTGGTAAGGGCAGAGCCCATACGTCTTGTCAACAGACAGCTTTTACTGAACATTAATTTGAATTTTTCAAAAAAAATTTCCTGTTTAATGCAAAGCTAGGCATCTTACCCTCTGTAGTGTTGGTGGTGGCTTCCCCTCCCTCTCCTCTCCGTGGTGTTTACAACCTTTGGAATATTTGTAACTTGTCACGTCCCCACCTCAGCCTTTGTTTGCCCTACTTTTCTAATTTTAGCTCTTTTAATCGCTTTCATCTGAAGCCCGTCCTTCCTGGTTTCTAATTATATTACTAACAAATACTTCTTGGTGATGGTGATGAATGTAAAATAAACTAAATGCAGACTGCCTTACACGAAGCTATCTACAAGGCCCAGCTCCTCACCTCTCCTAGGTTGTTGCTCAAATATCACGTACTTAGGAAAGCCCTCCTCTTCCACCTTGTTTAAAATCAAAGTACAAACACATAGAAACACACACAAACATACCTCTCCTGTATACACTGTGGGCTTTCCTGCTTACTTCCCCCTACAACAAACACTCCTATCTAACCTGCTCTGGACGTGACTTACATATATTGCTATGGTTGGTTGCATCCACTAGAAAGGAAACTCTATGAAGCACTTTGCTGGTTGGTGCTTAGAAGACTGTAGTAAGGACTTACTATATGAATTAATTTCATAAAATTCCTAACCACCCCCTATTAGCAGACACAGAGCCGCTCCAGCAGAGCTTTTTCATGAATCCTACAAGTGATGCAGGAACTTCTGCCCCAAACAGACATAATGACTGGCTCTAGACACCTTATGTCCATGCCTGTGATCTGAAGAGAGAGGTCTCCTGCCCCGGGATCTATCTTACCTTCCGTGATGCCAAGAACTCCATGCCCTTAGCCACTTGGAAGCTATAGCAGATGAGATGCTCCAAGGTCAGGAAGTCCTTGTACAGATCTTCTGAAGCTGCCAGAAAAGGCAGAAGGACAGAGGTGAGGAGTCTCATCGGTTGGTACATTTTGTTTCTAAATCTGCTAGAGTAATGATCTTTTTTTAAGACTTGGGAGGTAAATTTCAGAAAAGAGAAGCACAGAGAAGATGCTTCTATCTTCTGTCAATTTGCTGAATCCCAGTATTATTAACCTTCATCATACCCTTAGGAGAAATACTGGTTTTTCCATTTTAGTCAAATTGAACTAGTAAATACAGGAAGTAGAATGGAGGTAAAATTGGCCTAGAGAACAGGGAGCAAAAATAAGACCTTTCCAAATTTGCTGTTTTAAGCAATTGCTTTTTTCATCTACCCAGAGGGATAAACAATAGTTTCATATCAAAAACTCTAAAAATAAAACAACAATATTCAGGGTCATCAAATCATTTTTTTTTCTTTCCAGGCTTTGTCCTGGGACAAAGACCAAAGGTCAAACTATAATCTACAATGGATAATTAAAAATACCAGAAACAAACTTACTTCTCTCACTTTCACACTTAAAAAAGTGCTTTCAATACACTAAATCTCCCCCGTGAGGATGTTTTTTTCCTCCAAGGATATGAATGAGAGATAACAGGAACATGACAGAAAGATGAATTTACCTAAATTGATAGGATTTACTTCAGTGCAAGGGATACAAATAAACCCTGCGACATTCATGGGGGTTTCAAAAATGATCTGCTAACTTTGGTCAGATAAGACTTATGACCTCTTTCCTGGACATAAATACCAGAGTAAACACAAACTGAGTTGTAATAATAACCTCGTAAGTATTAAAAAAGCTGTAACCTTTTCCTCAATGATTTTTTTTTTGGGGGGGGTACCGGGGATTGAACTCCAGGGCACTGAGCCACATCCCCAGTCCTATTTTGTATTTTATTTAGAGACAGGGTCTCACTGAGTTGCTTAGTGCCTCGATGTTGCTGAGGCTGGCTTTAAATTCGCAATTCTCCTGCCTCAGCCTCCTGAGCAACTGGGATTACAGGAGTGAGCCACCGTGCCAGGCCCTCAATGGCTTTTATACTTAAGGGGCTCTTCAAGGACGATTAGTGAGACCACTTCATTTTCCAAATGGAGGCAAAATTTCAGGCCAACACCCTTTCTACCCCAACACCCCACCTTAATCCCCTTGGGTTTCCAGCTCATTGGCCCCCATTTTGTGAGAGAGAGAGAGCAGGGAAGAGATGGTTCCACTTGGTTAGATGGGGTCTAGACAACCTCCCCACTCTCTTCTAACCCAAGGCCTGACCTCACATTGCCTCCTCAGCGTCTTAAGAGGAACAAGTTAGATTTAAGTTCTATCTGTAGACTTATGTCAAGGAAAATGGAAACGAATCTCTTCCACTGTTTCATGATTGGGTTCTTCTAAACTCACACCTTAAAAGGACCCGATGTCTCCATCCATGGAGCTGTCTCTGCTCCTTCTGAGGAAAAGCTAGAGAAATGATCTTTTTAAGACTTGGGAAGTAAAGCGAGTCCTGGAGCTGACTAAAGTCTGGGTGGTTAGGCTGAGGCCAGAGCTCCACCCACAAAGAGCACTAAAATATCACTGGGAACAAAACTAAATAAAGACAGGTCTATTTACCAAGACTCCGTTGAGGAAGTAGGGCTGGGACAAGATGTGAAAAGCCACTGGGAGCAGAGCAGAAACGAGAGTTGGCTCCTAAACTGTCTTGGAGAAGGCTGCATAGGATGGACTCAAAGGCTTCCATGTTGCTGATGAAGTGTGCAACGTGGGCTGATGGGTTAGAGCAATGGGGAGGCCACTCAGGCCCCAGGGAGCCCCCTACCTCTCCCCACTGAGCGTTCTTGCCAAAAAAGGCTGATCCAGTATTTTAACCATATTGGTCTGATTGTTAGCAGGTGCTTAGTTGGGCCACCCAGATTTCTCAGCATGGCCCTGTTCAGCCATTCTATCTAGCCTGGTATTTATTTAGGGCTTTCACACTTCAAATTTGGGAAGACTGAATAGAAGCTGCCTAGGAATTCAGATCTCTTTCCAACATGAACCCTTTGCCATGACCAAGGTCCTGGTAACGCCTGCCACCTCGTGTGCTCCTGTGAAAGCAGGAATCCGGCATGCAGCTAGCAAAGGCAGGTACCTTCTTCTCCCTCCACGTCACTGAGGGATCTCTCTTCGACAAACCCAGAGCTGGCTGAGCTCTGGCTACTGGTGATGCTGTCCAAGCGACGCTTCAAATCCACAGAGATTTCCCCAACATAGTCTTTTCCTTGACGGAATCGTGCCCCTTTGGTCTAAAAAGGAACAAATGAACAAAACAAATTCTTGGGATATGAAATGGGTCCTTAAGATGTCTTAAATTGTAGGAACAACTGAAACTCTATCAAAGGAGACAAGAACGACATCAGGATTATGCCATTGCTGGACTGAAATATGGGGCACAACCTGTATATAATAGGGTTTCTTCCATAAAACCAAGCTCCCTCTTTATCTCAAAGAGATAAGTTCCTCTTTCAGGTTGCACTCACACACGTCCAACCCTGGTAGGCCTTAGACAGAGGGACATGAACTTCACAGGGCCAATATGGTGAGGGGAGAGTAGAATCTAGAGATGTTTTCCTTCCACCCTTCCCTTTCCTTAATCAAAACTGTCTTCTCCCAAACTCTGGCACCCTCTGTAATGGGTCAGGAGATTCAAGTCACAAAAATAAAGCATGCAAAGCACATGCACCCCTAGAAGGTGAGAGCGGAAGTTACAACAAGCAAGAGGGCACGTGAGAAGTTTGCTCACAAGCTCTTCACAGAATTTCAGCTAAAAACCTGATCTGTACCACTTTGAGTTTCCCTTCATTTGACTACATGGCAAAACTGAGTCAGGAAACAACATTACCTTGTAGGGAACAAATTCATTTCTCTTGCCTCGTAAGTAGGTTGACAGGTTCCCAAACTTGCAGAATTCCACAATCACCATGAGAGGGCCTGCAAATGGCACAGTGTGTCAAGAAAGACCCGTTCCCATTTGTTTCTCCCTAAGTGTTTACTATATAGAGAAGCCCAAAAGAAAAAGGCTTCATACAACCTTTCCTTGAGACAGAATTACAGAAATCAGCTGGTTTTCTCAACCCTTTTATGCTATAGCTTTTCTTTTCCTGAAAAGCTACTGCAAGGAGATTAACCAAAATTTCTGAAGAAAACCTTTTTCCTATTCAATGTAAGCACCAAGGTGTCTCCTTTTGGGAGGAGTTTATTTTTCTTATCTGAACACCTTTTACACAAGTAGCAAACTGTATCATAGTGTTGTGACATTCCTTAATTCACAGGAAGTTTTAGAATATTTTAATTACTATGCTGATTAAATTTCTGTGAAATGTTAAGTATATCTAGGAATCTGCAAAGTACTCTAAATTAAGGAAATAAGGGCCATGGGTAGTGATCATTTCCCTCAAATACTAGCAGAGAAGCATGAGTCAATATTGGCCATCCAGAACCATCCACAGGTACTTACCTCCTGGCTTGGTGCAGGCACCTAGAAGGTTGACCACATTGAGATGGTGGCCAATATGAATGAGGATCTTGAGTTCAGACATAAGGGCTCTGTGTTCACTGTGTGTGGCTCCTTCTACAAATTCAGGATAAAGAGGAAAATCATCCATGTGGGTAATACATCGGGATAATGGATGCTCTCTCCCCAGTACATGCAATTGTGCAACTTAACCTCTCTGGGTAATATAACTGTAACCTAATTTAGAGATCAGTCACATTTTCTGAAAAATCAAGTGTACATTCTATTTCCTAATTCCAAATCAATTTCTTACTTTAAGTGAGCCCAGAATGTTTGGTATTGTGAAGCAGAGAACCTGTCTGCCACAGAATCGTGCCCAGATTCTCTAACTGTACAAAACTGGATTTTGATGTTCCGGGATTACTGTGGTTCTTAAGGCCTGGTCATTTTGGTGCCATGCATTCATTATTCCCGTGTGCCAATAAGCCACTTAACCAGGGCCAGCTAGTAAGGCCAGTTGGCACATGAAGCTGATGGAGCTAATACTATGCATTTGATCCTGGATGGACAGCTGCATGTCCCTCTAATTCACAGGCATGGTCTGCATTTCAGGGCCTGGTGTGCCATCTCAAAAATTACATACCTCTCTCACCAGTAGAGGAAAGGCATAAGGAGAGAGAGGGCCCCTTCTGGCAGAGGGTCAGTAGCACGATCATCGTTAATGAAAGCACATCACAGTTGAAGCATAAAAACTTCATGAGCATCCCCTCCCCAAGTCAAAATGGCAGATGAGATTCATTACTATTAGGATGAACAATTCCTTATGAAGCTTTTAATTTTAAAAGAATAACCCATAATCCTTTATTCCTTTGCATAACCATTTTTACTTTGCAAATTATGTTTTATGTGTGAAGTTCTTTTACATATTTTCCAATTCTAGAGAACATGTTGTTTTTGAATTCCACTATTTTTACTGATATCAAATTTCCTTCCCCTGTTTCTAGAGGGTCTATAATTATCTTACACCACGATGTATTAAACATTTTTAATATGAACAGATTTTTTTCCTCATGACCCAGAATCACCCGAATAATTGTATCAGCTGAGCCCTGTATAAGAGCTCCAGGCACGGTGGGTGACTCCATCCCCAAATTTGCTTACTAGTCATGCACTCTGGCATGAGGTTACAAAGGAGGGAACTTATTCCAACTTGCACAAAGGTGTTAAAGAGACTGGCTTCATGCTTGCCAGTTGGCCCACATAAGCCCAGAGCCACTGATATGAGCCTTACAACATGTAACAACAGGATGCCACAGATACATCACCATATGATTTTGCTTTTACCTTTCAACATTTTGACGGCCACAGTCTTACACGTTGCTGTCTTGTCAATTCCAAAGGCATCAGCCTCAATCACTTGGCCAAAGGCACCACGGCCAAGAGGTTTACCTAAAAACAACAGCAATGACAATGACAAAATGGGCTTGGATTATCATAGCACCAAAGCCACAGGCAAAGATTCCAACTAGACAGTGTGATCAGACAGCCCAGGTTAACATGGACCATCCAGTTCACTCCCTTGTCCTGGCTTAGTCAGTCATTTAACGACTACTACTCTCCAAAGGTCCTGCTTTGGGTGATGATACAGGGATTCTCCCTCTATGAGGCTAAAGGGATGATTATCCAAAATCAAGAGGTGGAATTAATATTTCTGAACTAGATGACATCTAAATAGCCTAGGTTTGTCTTCATCCCAAGGGAGGCAAAGATGGCTTGTTAAACCCAACATCAAACTGATATCAACTGAAAACGCACCTAGCTTGAGCCGGTCCCTCGGGAACTCCCATTTGCTGGCATCATAAGGCAGGCGTTCACAGTGCTCGTCCAGGGGCAGCTCATCTGGATCCATGACAATGGACAAGTAGCCCGTCTTCAGTTCCCCTCCATTGGCCTGGAAAGCATCAACCCTCCCAGTCACACACACACACACACTGTTGTTTTGTGTACTTATTATTGTTGTTTAATAGGAGCCTCATTCCTGATGTCTCATTTTCCAATAAAACTCTTGGAGTTTCAGAGTCGTCCTATTATCATACTGCTGCCAGTGTCCCCTCCTCTCCCCAAATGAGGGCAGAATTAAGTTTTCAAATCTTAATTACGCTAGACAGTCCCAACTCTCCTCTAGTGGCTTCTATCAATTAATGCCCAATGGTCTAGCCAAAGAAAATGGGCAAGAATGTTATTGTATTGAAATAAAAATGTGCCCATTGAGCCAATAACAATGGGAAGAAACAACTCAAAGAACCCCAGTCAGCTTTCATTAATCATGAAAACCAACATGCATGGGACAGAAGGGAAATTATTTTGTTACCCGCTTAACGGTCCGGAGCACGATGACAAGAAGTAGCCAGAAGAACATGGCAATCACCGCGGTGCCTACTAAAATAATGACTTCCAAGTTGGTCTTTTCCTGGGCACCTGGGAGACACAATTGAATGAGTGTCAACAGCTGGTGACAAGGTTCAGTAGGAAAAGACAAGATCTCAAGCTTATCCATTCTGAAGAATCCTAGAGAGACATAACCACACACCCTGAAGTTGCATGGAGTCTAGAGCATTCTATGGAAAATTTAAAGCTTGAAAGACTTTAATAAAATTCTAAAGTAATTAAGGATAGACATACAAATGTCTGAAAAGACACATAGAACATGGTTGGAGTAAGTATTATTTGATGGGAAGGAAACAGATGACATTCTACAGGGAAGGCAAGTACTTCTATTAGGGGATAATAAAGTCTGGTTTGGTGCTGAAAGTCAATGTTTTGATGTGTATGCAGTTGGAAAATAGATCGTTTAAGACACCACATTTGGAAATAAATGAAGTTTAAACAGAGAGCTATCTGTGACCATACACCTACTCTGTACTTTAAATATATTGCCCCACTCAATTATCTCAACACCCTGCAGTTTTCAGAAGAAAAAAGAAAAGATCAGAGAGGTTAAGCTACTTGATTGGAAGTACACAGGCAGTAGACAGAGAGCCAGTCAACAGTTAAACTAGGATGGTCCAACATGAGCTGACCATTACACTCCCCTGCCCCCTGCACAGCGGGACCTTGAGCGAGGAAAAGAGAGCCCTGAGATGAGCACATGGTGTGCCACCTAGGAAGAGGAGTTTAAAAGGACTTGTGAAAGGAAAAAGAAAAGGAAAAGTTCAATGTGGACAAGAAAGCTGCGGATGCTCCAGGCTCCAGGGTGTAGTTCCAATTGGGAGAAATGAAATGCAGAAGGAGGCCCTTGACTACGAGTGATTAGTGAAGAAATGATAAGGAAGCAATTATCACTTGGGGTCTCCCATCCAAGAGTGGTGTGGCTCAAATTAGGCTGCAAGCTGTGGGAAAGGTCCACAAGTAATTATTAGTTGGCAAAATAAGAGTTAAAGGGACTCGAGTCCCAAGTGTCTGGAAGTAGGCTTTGCTTCTCCAGTGGTCCTAAGGAAGTGGTTCCACATTCACATACAAAGATTTAAGATCCATCTGTATGGAGAAAGCAGAGACTTCAAAGATTTCGGCTGCCTGTAGATGTGTACCACAGTATTTCTGTTAACATCTGGGAACCTAGCAGGGGTATTGAACATCTACCTCTCCTTTTCTTGGCATTCTCTGCAGGTAAGAAGGTCCTGTGATCTCTGTGCCAATGTTCCCTCGTAGGTATCTGCAACCAGCTGCAGATAGCTGATAGAGGGAGGCAGAGCACAGCAAGGCCACCCTAGGATTCACCCTAGAACTTGAATTCCTTTGAGAGCAACAAAACCACCACATCCTCTGAGATCTTTACTTACAAGTGCAGTTTATGAAACAGTAATAAACCTACAGATTTGAAAATATGTCCACATGTCTAGATGTAGTGCTTGGATCTGACAGGTGAAAGGCACCAAGAGACAAGTTAGGATGAGTTCATAGAAACCCCTTAGTCCCTCTCCTGTCACCATCCTGCTGTCCTCCACTCGAGTACCATTACTACATCTGGTACACAATACGGTTTTGTGTTCCCCTGGGGGGTTCCAAAAAAGATACAAGAATACACTGCTTACGAAAAAGTATTCTGTCACAAATTACTTTTCCTAACTGAGAAAATGCCGGATTTCACATCACTCCCAGATTTCCATCCATATTTACTTAAGAACCCAACATTTTCCATTTCAGAAAAGCAAAGGTCTATTGTTTGCAAGTGCATCTTGATTATCCTTAGACCAACGAAAACTCTGAACCCTTGCAACTTAGTGGACAGCAATGATCTTCAGGATTAGACAGCAATTTCTAACATTTTTCCATATAAATGCAGAAGTATCATTTCCATGAATTAACCCTGCCTGGCTAAGACTTTTTCCACAAGAGGAACTGCAGGGATAAGAAATATGATACAAGCAGAATTCAAAAAAAAAACATTATTTTTTTCTGTTAAAAGAATATATGCTTATTGATGCAAATTTACAAAGCACAGGTTGAACATCGTTAACCCAAAAGTCCAAAATATGAAACTTTTTGAACATTGACCTGATACCAAGAGAGGAAAATTCCACACTCAGCCTCATCTGATGGATCTTATTCAAGACACAGGCACACTAAATATAGATTGTATAAGATTGCCTTCAACTTATGTATATGAGATTGACATGAAATAGAAATAAATTTTGAGTTTAGATTTGAGTCTAAATCCAAGATAATCTATTATATATATATTTATATGTGTGTATACACATACTATATATATATATACATACACATATATACATACACACATATATATGCAAATATTCCAGAATCTGAAAAATCCAAAATATGAATCACTTCTAGTTCCAAGCATTTTGAATAAGAGACACTCAGCTTGTACAAAGAACACTGACAATCAACCACTAGTAATCCCACCCAGAGTTTATGAGAGTAACATACACACAAGCAAATCTTTAAAAACCAGGTGATGAGCCCATGACTTCACACTGACCTTCTATTATGAAAAACATCTCCCCTTTGGCACACCCAAGGACATTGCAGGCCTGGCAGGTGTAGAGGCCTTCGTCCTCCTTCCTCACTCTTCGGATAGTTAGGTTCCGGTTCCCGTCCTTCAACACAATGCCTGAGAGAGGATGGAAAGAGGTCTTATTTCTGATGATGTGATCTATGGAGTTGCTCAGGAAAAATTTTTGTAAATACACATGCTGCCCTTCATCTTGGGCTATTCTCTAACTGTGAAGAGTCCCACAGGACCCAGTGCCAGCTCATCTCCCATGAGGCTTCCAGGAGAATTTGGCAAGGCTCCCAGGGCTCTGTTTCCATGTCTATGAAGTGAGCCAGACCAGGGACACTAACACTGCTTTTCTGTCTAACTTAAATCAAGAAATAATATGGGTGTTAAGCAACATTCCTGGAAAATTCTATAACCAAAGAGATACACAGGTTCTGTTCACCTGAGTCTTCTACGAGGGTCTCGTTGTCTTTAAACCACATTATCTGTGGAGGGGGGTTCCCAGACGCTGTGCAGGCCACTTCGATGGTTTCACCGATACTTGTCGTCTGATTCTCTAGGTTTCCTACGATCATGGGTGCCATGCGCTCTGTCCACATAAAAATAAAACCAGAGAACCTGTAGTCATAACTTTTGGAATAGTTTGAGTATTAATGAATGGCTAAAGAGCAACCTGTTGATTTACTAAAGCTGAAAATACACAGAAGTTGATGACAGCCTTGCTGTTCACTAAAGCCAAATAAAATCAGTTCAGTTCAGATAGATCACTGCATTTCTTTGAATGTTCGCCTTAGCAATTCTTTCTGGAGATCACACGGGCGCACCTTTTTAGATTTCCCCATGAGAAACTGACCTCTCACAAAAGTTCTAGCTGATGATACCCTAGAAGGCCACCATTGTTTTCTCTTGGAAGTTACCAGACTTCAGTGTAATTCCACAACGAATGCTTAATATCTGTCCGATAATTTTTACATAATTTGCTTATACTATTTCTAACTATATATAAACTATATGTAGTTTATAACTATAAACTAAACTATATTTATTTATACTATCCATTTTATGATTGAGTATGTCAGGTTCAGTAGCCTGAAATAACTATAGTTCAGTGGTTCAAACAACTTGTTCTAGTCTTTATGACTAAGTAAATAGATGAACTAATAACAAAACCTAGTTAACCTAAAAGTCAAATGCTATTTCCATTAAAACACAAACTAAAAGAACAATATCCTGAGGAAAGACAGGGATTTAAAGCACATGATCGTTTGTATTTAAATATATAACAAAAGCATATTGTTCGGTATCTTGTTTTTTAATCCAATCTGCTAGTCTATGTCTTTTCACTGATGAGTATAAGCCATTCACATTCAATGTTATTTACTGAGAAAGGATTTTCATTCCCTGTCATTTTGATTTATTTCTGGTGTTTAATTTGAATTTGTTTACCCTTTGATTGACTATTCTTCTATGATAGAAAAATTTTTCTAGTGTAAAAAATTAGATTAACACTTTCCCTTTAAATTGTCCATGTGCTATGGGACTGTCTTGTCCAAAACAAACGAACATCAAAAGGAATCATGCTGGAAGAATCCACTCCAATACTTAAGAAAATGAGATTAACTCAGTGCAGTACATGGGAGCAAATGTACAGGACTCCAATCTATTTCTAAGAATAGATTTCAGGACAGTGACTTGGACATCCTTAGAGAAGCAAACCCACTAACTGTGAGCTCATATTTCCTGGGCAATGCCAGGAACCTCCCTCACATCTCTTTCTGATTTCTTTCATTAACTTGAAACCAGTCCAGCCACCAATGTCAATAGAAAATGCGTGGTCATGTGCGTAATATGATTTCAAGGGCGAGGGGGATGATCTGACCCCTAAATATCTTTTCTTCTATCACCTGAGTTTTTAAACCAGCAAATCATATATGACTATCTATCTGAAGATGCCTCCTAATATATATATATAATTTGGTATATATATATATATATATATATATATATATATATATATATATATATATATACCAAATCCCCGAGCAAGATACGATTCCTTTAAAACTTTCATATAGTTAAGTTTACCTGTGCAGTTCCCTTTCCTAACAGTAAGAGAGAAAGAACACATTCATTCTAGGCCCTGGAAAGGGGCACTAAAAGAAGGAGAAAATAGAAAGAAATGGCACGGAGAAACTCTCCAAATTCAGCTGATTTCCCCAGCGACAGAGCTATGGTTGCCCAACTTTCAGGTAAAGCACAAGGTTAAATAAGCTGTACAGAGCAGCTCCAGCTAGAAATTTACAAAGCTTTCTGGTCACCAAAAGTATCATCTTATTGACCTTGAGCTGTCCTCAAGGACCATATGAGATGCCTCAGAGGTACTAACAGTGAACAGAAAGCCCCTCCTGGACTCTTCTAGGTCTAAACTCAAACCATCATCAGTGTCCACAGAGCAGGTATCTCAGTGAGCAGCTAGTATATGCCACTGTATTCTGTGACTAGACCTCCAGCAGGATGCAAAACAGGGACTAATCCCTATCTTCTTGAACATGGAGAGAGCTCACTGTGCAATGACTGTCCATGGTTGCTGACATTCTCATTCTGTCCATCTGGCCATCAGAACCAACTTCTAGCATTTTCTTGGCTCATAGTGTTGAATCAACAAATGTGTTGATTCAAATAAGTGAATGCCCAAGAATAAGGCAAAGAGTTCCCTGGTTCAAGCGAATCCCTCGTAGACCCTAGTGAGTTCCCCCATCATAAGGCTACAAAGAGCTATGTTATCTTCTCTTTTTAATATATCCCTTCCTCATTACTAGCTTTGTTCTGCCTTGAGGTCTTTCAGTGACTCGGTGTGTACCAGTCTACTTCACAAGCTTCTAGGGACAATAATCTTCACACAGCACCTGAAAGCACTATTTTTATGACATTCCTGCTGACTTGGAACAATGATCCAGAGCTGCCTCTTACCTAGGACTGTGAGTTGCCTGACCACACATTGTCTCTTCTTGGTCTTCCTGTCTTGAGCAGAGCAGACATAGTCTCCTTGGTCCTGCAAGGACACATTCTGGAACTCCAAGGTCAAAACATCATTTGTGCTATTAGAGAACACGGTGGCATTCAGTCTCCAAAGAGCATCCAAGTTCTTGCAAATAGGTGTGAGCAGCTCTCCTGTGGGGATAGCCTGTGGGTGGAGCTTGTACCACGTGAGGTTCTCAAATGTGGTTCTGTCTGCAGTGCACCACAGAGACATGCTTTCCTGCTCGGTGGGCTGGCTGGCAGGTTGTGAAGTAATTTCAAGACCCTCTGAAATATAAAGCCCATAGTTAGAGGATGGTGGCTTCACTTGGTACAGTATTCTACCCTCTTCTTGCTGCCTTCAAACCATGATAAAGTGCCAAGTGAAGTTAAGTTCTAGCAGTCTCAGAAGATTTACTATAGAGAGACAGCCAAACTGGACAACTCAGGTGCCAAAATTTATTATCTGGAAATGCAAATTAATTCCCCAGATATATATATCACATTTCCACTTTGAGCTCTAAATACAGCTTTTAAGATTAAAAAAGAAAAACCCAAAGCAGACTATCCAATCATATATCATGGAATTCTAAAAGTCAGTTGCTTATTAACACACAACACTCAATGACAATAAAGCTACATTTATCACAACTAATTAGCCCAGACCAAAATATTTTATCCAGTACAGTCAGCTAAGGTTTATTCCTAAACCTAGGAGACACAGGCAAAAATCAGAAGCATTGGACAGTACTGTTCCCATGTCATTCCTACAACTTTCAGAAACCCCAACCTCAGAAATTGTTCACAGCAAACCCACCAATATTTATTGAGCCTTAGTAAACCACGCATTGTGTTAGACTCTGATGAGCATGAGAGGTGACCTACATAGGGCACACAGCTTGTGGTCTGAAGCATCCATGAAACTCTTCTCTCCAGTGAAGGTGTACGAACTGACTTCACATAGCCCTGACTTCACAAAACCTGAGTTTTCCTTTGTGAACAAAAGCACCAATTCTAGATCCCACCAAGCCTTCTCCCCCCACACACACACACACCTTTCACATGAATGGCAAGGACAAGAGAATTTTCAAACTTAATAGCCACTTGTGAGTGGTGAGTGATCCAACCCACCCTCCAGAGAGGAGTACTCACTGGTCACGTGGAAGGAGATAATCCTCTCTCCTCTGCCGGCTTTGTTGACGGCTTCACATTTGTACAGAGCTGACACATTCGCAGCTTGGATGACAAGAGTACTTACAGTCTGTGGAGAAAACAATTCCCAGGCCATAAACAATGCAGGCTGTGTTTGTGCACATGCATTCAGTCCGCATAATTGCTACGACCTGCCCACTCCATTCACACTACCACACTGACCACCCTCAAATGGAAGCAATTATAATTATGCAGATGTGTAACTCACATTTTACACAAAGGTGTTTGAAAATCATTAGGTTAATGATGTGTTTTAATATAACCTACACATTTTCTCATTCTCATATCTATAAAATTGAAATCACTTCACAATAGGTGCATAAATTAAATAGCATTCATATTTCATTTTTTTTCTGGTAAGTTATTAGTTAGCTAATGGCAGCACCAAAAGTCAATGGTATTTTGAAACTGACTTAATATGCTATTATACATCTACCTATTGGATTATTAATCTCCAATATGCCTCACATATTATCATACCATCCTTCCAATAAAGAGAGATAAGGAGATTTTCAAGTTAAAGAACACTTCAAACTCACTTTGTTTTTTCCTTCGATGAGGGCATATTGTTTTTTGTTGACTTCAATTCTATTTCCACCCTGGAAGTCTTCCACATTTCTCCATTCTTTACAAGTATATTGGTTTGTCATTAAGGCAGATTGGCTACAAAAAAAAAAAAAAAAAGATAACAGATACATTATGATTTAACCACCTTATTTGAATAAATAGTAAGGAAAAGGGTCAGACTTTGGTGACTGTGTTCTTAGAAATAACTTTCCATGCAGCCTACCACTTTACAAGACTTGGCGCCAATTAAAAATAGGCCTCCGCATTGAAGGAAAAGGTCTTAGGTAGATTCATTCAGGATACAGGAGGGAAGAGCTATTCTGGGAACAAACCTCCATTCATAAATTGGATCGACAAGACAATTCAGGCTAATTTAGTTCAAAGGAAGGTAAGGAAACTTAGAAGCCATCGGGCTTCTTAAAGTCATTTCTTGCTGGGACCATGGCCTTTGTGTAGGAAATGGCCAGCAGCTGAGGAAGAAACTAGTAGTGGCCATTTCAAAAACAACAACAGGAAGTGGACTTCTTGGGGGGGGAGGGGTTGGTTGTTGTTGGTTTTTTTTTTTTTTAAGGATGTCTGGATTTGTGTTGGGATTTGATAAGCTGGACCTGAGGCTCTGAGGGCAGAGCTAGGTTTATCGCTGCCTCCCATCCATCAGCACTTCCTCTGAGAGATGGACCTTCTCTCTGATAAGAGGGAGTGCAGTGGTGGTCTCCCATGGACTGGCAGAAGAAGAAAAGCCAAAGATTGGCAATTAGCAAACGGAGCAAATAACTGGTTTTGGAGAAGTGCATATCAGGACCAAGAAAAGAGAACTAGCTAATCACAGGTTGGGATGCCTTAAGCCAAAATATCTGCTAAAACTTAAGACAAAAAAGGATGAAAGGAGATTCCGAGTTCCATTAGAGGAGCCTGCGTAGGGACAGTTTCCTCCATGCAGAATGGAGTCATGGCATAGCTTGGCTATAAGAAAGGCAAACTGGCAGGAAATAGAGCATGTGGCCCTACTCACCTGGGCTTGTAGGAGCACTCTCTCTCCAGCTGCCAATACCAGTGGATGTGACGAGGGGGAGGAACAGCATAGACGGTACACGTCAGGGTTTGCGTGGTGCCGTACTGGTAGGAATCCACGGGAGAGATCAGGGACTTCTCACCAATTTGGGGTGGGACTGGAGATAGGAAAAACAATTTTTAACTGTCAATCACCTCTAGGGAATAAAAGTAAAGAATTTCAGCTCAATATTGAAGCTAGCTTTTTTAAAGCATTGGATTTTGCCTCCACTTTCTTTTCAAAAGAACATCTAAATTTGAAAACAGAAGTTTTGAGTTCTGGTGGTACTCATACTAATAACAATAAACCAGTAGTAATGAAAACTAAGACGCTGCTTTAGGCAAGATTCACACCCCTATGTCTTGGTTTGTCTCATCTGCATTTCAGAGATTGTCTTCCCAATCTCACAAGATCAGAGTAAGGCTACAGAAAGAAAATAGCTAGAAAAACATAGTAAATAGGTTGATTATGTTCCAAGCATTGTTGCATGTGCATTACACTGTTTGATCCACTTAATCCTCACAACCACTGTTACTGTCCCCCACTTTATATCTGAGGAAAACAAAATGGAAAAGTTCAAGGACTTGCCCAAGGTCACCCATTCAAATAGGCGGCCAAACCCAGCACAAACCCAGACACTCTCACTTCTGAAACCAAACACTGATAAACCACCACATTAGAAAGGAAGTTGTAAATCCTTAGATTGCATCCTGCTCTCCCTCTCTCCCTCCCTCCTTCCTTCCTTCCTTCCTTTACTTTTTCCTTCCTCCTTCCCTTCTTTTTTTTCATTCTTTTTTAGTTCCCAAATTATGAATGTAAAACTATGACCTTATTATCACAGTCCACCTAAATCCTGTCCCAAAGAGAGGGAATGGAAACCAAGGCTGATGGCCACAGGGATGCATGCTATAAAGATTCACTCCTTCCTCTCTACTTTCAAAACCTGGCTTCTTTTTTGCCTTTATTTCATATAGCAGGGTAAATGCTGGGGTTGATCAAGTGTCTAGTGACTTCATGAATTGATAATATGAGGTTATTTGCTGTTAATTTTTTGATCATTTCCTTCTCCTGTCCTTCTTATCAGCTTTCCAGTTTCTCTCCCTTCCCCAGTCTCCCATACCCAGGCGGATGCTAAGCAACTTTCTAGAACCTATTATCTGTGAAATACTCCCTGAACAAAGAAAGAAAGCCAAGTTCAGCAGACATACAGAGGAGTATCAGGAGATGCGGGGAAGTGCCTTAACGTCATGAGAGTATCTTAAAGTTTTCATGTGGCATGTCAGTAGGGAAGGAACACAAAGAATTACAAGGGAGAAGCATTTCTCTATGTTTGGAGTAAAACATTAACGGATTTACTCAGGGAGAAAAAGTACTCTGTTCAGACATATTTATTACATCTTGAATATTGTCTTTCCTCCTGGAGAATGGCAATGTCATTAGCCAGATAAAGGTCCTAAGAAGTCCTGAAATAAGGAAACTCTTTCACATCACCTTCATACCCCACCCCATACTCACTTGACTACGGCAGTACCTTTCTCCCCATCTCCAAATAATTAATATCTTTCAGTGTCGGGAAAAGAAAAACATTTAAACCCTCCTTAAATCAAATGTTTACTATCTTTCCTTTACAGACTCAGAGGCAGATCCTGGACTCCAGGTAAGCCATCAGTGTGACCCAGCAAAAGCTTTCTGAGTAGGATCTTCCCATGCTTCAAAGATGCATGACACCAAACTCCAGAGTCTTCCCCATCTACAGACCACATGCGCAATTCCCTAAGACAGGAGCAAACTGACCCTGTGGGCATTCTTACATCACAGCATTGGACCACCAATTGCATCATTTACTTTAACCTTGCATTTGACCACCAAATAGCTCGCGTCCATGGCTTCTTAAGGAAGCATGGCCAGAGCACCCTGGCCTACACCTCGTCTCAGCTCCACCTCCCTCAGTTTGATGCAGTGGCCCAGTCAGGAGGAGTGAGCAAGGAGCGGTGGGTTGGCAGTTTAGAAAGACACAGCCATCCTCTGATAAATCTTGGGCAGAGGGGAAAACCGAATGGACTCACCATTCACCACCAGAGCCACCACGTGGCTCTGCTTCTCCTTTGAAATGGGATTGGTAAGGATGATGGTGTAATTCCCTGTGTCTTTTTCACTCACTTCCATAATGGTCAGGACATGCCCCACTTTGATTGTGTGATTGGATTCAAGGAGTCTTCCATTTTTATACCTGTGGGAGGGGAAGAAATTCCAGAAATTAGCGCACTCAGAGGGCGTGCGCTCATGTGAAATACGCTTTGTCCTTACTTCCGATAGTTACCATTTGATTTCAGGGGTTGGGTAACCGAGGTACTTCACAGGGATTCTGACACGATCTCCCACTGTGGCTTCCACCAAAGATTCTGTGCCACTATCAAAAGCAACAAAGGGTTTTGCTAGAAGAAAATGAAAACAATTGTTGTCATAAATGTCAAGTTACTATAAATGAGCATTTGGTTTAGTTTTTCATTTCAAGTGAAAAGTGGAAGACCTTTGAGGTCCAAGTGCTGCAGTTCAGAGTCTCTCTGCACATACCAGTTTTCCTCCAGCCTCTACACTCACTTTCCTTCCCCTCCGGTGCACTCCCAAAATCACAAAATTGTCACTTCTCTGTGTGGCTTCTCCAAGCCCAGGCCCCTGTGGGTGCTTCTGGTCCTCTGCTCCATGACAATCTCCACAGGCTCTCTCTGTGTCGATGTGCCCCAGGACTCCGTCCTCAGACCTACTCCTTTATCTAGAGGTTCAAAGTACCAGTTGCATAATCCTAAATTTCTCTCTCCTGTCTGGACTTCTCTTGGGTTCTAGGTTTACACAATAAATATCTCCAGTTGGATGGTTAACTCACATCTCTGAATGATCACACCCAACCTGTTTCCCCAAACTCCCTCCTCAATCTTCCCTGTCTCAGGGATGACTTCACCTTCTCCTCAGCTGCACAAGCTAAAGCTCAAGTCACCTTCCACTCTTTTTCCCCAGCCAGAGAATCCATCAGCAGGTCCTGTTGACTCGACCTTCAAACATAGGCAGAATCGGATAACTTCTCCTGGCCCTCGCCTCCGCTACCCATGTCCAAGTCATCCACCCTTTCTCAACTCATTATTGCAATGAGCCCTGCCTGGACTCCCTTCTTTTGCCCTTACTTACTTGCTTGGTATTCCTTATAAGTTACAGAGTAATCCTATAAAAACAGAAGCCAGAGCCTGTCTCTCTCTCTGATGCATTTTCATATATAAAATCTGAAATCCTTTCCAAAGCTTGTAAATAGAGAGTCGTGTGAATTATTTAAACTGAGAAATTTACATGAATGAAAAAGAATAAGTGAAAAATCAAGGTGATTTGAAAGGAAAAGCAGAACCACGTGGTATCTCTGCCCAGAGCCCCACAGTAAATCAATCATTGAATCTGAGTTGCCCCAATTTGCAAAGCTCATTGTTACTCAAGCAGGCCTCTCAGCTTTATAGCAAAGTGAAAAATTTTAAAAACTACCTTAGATACTAATGCTGTGCTTACATAGTAATGATTGTAATTACAATTAACTGTAACAAGCAATGCTTAGAGAGCACTTACAATATTACTACATTGTATTTTAAAATTGGGATTTGAAGCCAAGACCCTTACTCCCAAAACTAGGCTCTTGACCTCTAGGTCATAGAACCTCCCTGGCAAGAGCTCAAAAGTGTTTTCTGAAAGAACAAAACAGAAATCTTTAGGTGACCTAAATACATTTCAGTTACCTCACTTTTCTAGGTATAGCTTAATTCCCAAGGAGATCACAACTTACCATGGACTCTTACAAAAGTGCTATTCTTCTTGGTCATCAGCCCACTGGACGCTGCACAGGTATACAACCCATGGTCACTCCGGGTGACAGCATCTATGGTCAAGGTGCTCAAAAATTTCTTCATCACAGGCATAGACTGGGTTTTAAGGTCCCGGTTTATAAGTTTCTTATGCTGATGCTAAAAAAAAAAAAAAAAAAAAAGAATTTCCTAAACTTCCAAAGCCCAGCATAACATTAACCAACAGCTTCTAGAGACCCAGGAAATCAAGCCAAACTACTTAATGTCACTAACAGGGGCTTTTAACATCTTGTAGACAACAAATTCATTGGGATTCAGGAGACGTAAATGGAAGCAATGGAATTAGGATGTAAAAACCCACCTGGTGAAAAGGAAGTGCATGTGAACTGCAAAAAACACAGGCGAATGTGACCACTGTTTAAGGAGAAGTGGCCTTAAAGGGAGACTCATGCAATCGCCTAGTGAAAATGAATATTCAGTCTGATGACAGCAGAGTAGAACAGAATTCTTAGTTCTGCATCTTTTCTGTGGTTTACTGTGTTCTGCAATGCACTTAAAGTGTGTGTGTGTAAGAGAGATAAACTGTGTGTGTATGTGTGTGTGTGTGTGTGTGTGTGTGTGTGTGTGGGTGTGGGTGTTAAGGCTCTCTTGCATCTGGCCAGAAAGGGTCCTATCTCTTAAGGAGAATTTGTCAGGGCTTATTATCAAAGTATTTAGAGGTCTGGCTTTGAATTGTTAGTGTTACCTTCAAAGAAGGGTATTCCCAGTTGAAATCAAGCCCCACATTTAGCTCAGTTCTTGCTGTACAATTTAAGACAAGCTTCTCTCCAACAGATAGCTCCACTTCATGAGGGGGGCTCAGAACCACATCATAAATCTTGTACCCTAGAGCAAGCAAATTAAAAACACAGAAATTGAGAGGGAAAAGAAACCTCTAAGTTGGCCCAAATTTATTTGAAAGTGATATAAAATATGTGATATCATTTTCCCCTACGGGCCTCACTAATAAATACTTGGTAGCTCTTGGATTATGGAGATTTTACAAAGCACTACCTTGAAGGATCTCAAAGATGTTATAACCCACTGGATAGAAAAGTCTAGGCCAATGGGGTCAGCTTTAGTAAACTGTTGAACTTTCCATAAAACAGGCACAATTAAAAGAATTGATGCCAAACAATGCCAAGAATATTGAGTTTTCTCATAAAATATGTTCTGGAATAACATAATTTTTCATTCTTGGTGTTGATAAAAAAAAAAGGAGAAAAACTCAATTGCACATGGGTATATAGGATAGGAAAGGGTAGTTGTAGTGAATTGCCCAGCACCATATCCTGAGTTAATATATTTCCTAATATCCCTTGTCCTTCACCCTGTAAAACCTTAATCTCCAGAACCTTCTTGCAAAAACCACCCTTTATTGTCTGACATTAATAATATGGGAAGGAAATATCCTCTTACCTACAACCACAACTATGTACATAATAGACTGGTAAGTCTCGTCATTAATTTTTGCTTCACAGAACACCATGCCGGCATAGCTGATCATGTAACTGGGAATAGTGAAGCCTTTTGTGCTGTCCCAGGAAATTCTGTTGCCATCAGGAACAAACCTCTTTTCTGGATACCTCTGGGTAATAAAAATATATATATTAAATATTTAATCCAATACAATCCAAAAGTGAAAGCCGTGGACAGTGATCACTAAATTCACCTTATTTTTTAAAATGCAAGTTGATTTTTTTTTATTCATTGTCATTTTGGCTCTTCCTAAATTCTTTAAACTGTTTAAAATTCTTTGTGGGTGGGATATTGGAAATGGGTTACCCATCTTAATATTAGTCTGAGATCATGAAAACCTAAGAGATGATTGGAAAAGACATAACTTACTGCACAAAGAGACACGTTGAGATTTGAAATGGACCCCCGACAGGGAATCACCACAGTTTTGTTTTTGTTTTCAGTAATGTACACAACTCCATGCTGGTCACTAACAGAAGCAATAAATGGTGATCTGTAATCTAGGGGAAAAAAAAAAACGTAATTCCATCAGTGAGTTCCTAGAAGAAAAGTTCATAAACTTTTCAGATTCATAAATTCCAACCAAATAAGAGAATGATTGGAAATGACACTTCACACTGGTAATGCTGTCCACAGGTTAATCTGCTGGGAGATATCTGGATCCAAAGATATACTCCAGGAGGTGTGTGTGTGTGTGTGTGTGTGTGTGCATGTTTGTGTGCAAGAGTGCATGTGTGAAAAATTTGAAAGTTCTGCAATGAGACTGACTCTTTTCACAAGGAACATCAACAAATAGAGTATATTTTAAAGGTTCTCTGTTTTGACATTTGACCTTTTTTTTCGAAATGAATAAGCATATTTAGTTTAAATTTTAAAGTTAAATCTACACACTTTACCTACACATTTTACTGATATCAAGAAAAAATCACCTTCTGTCTTTAGGCAAATAATGTAAATGCCATGAAAACCACTTAAAATCTTTAAGTTGACAGAAAGTAACTAGGGATTTTTATTCAAGGAAATACTTTATAGGACATTGAAAGACTGTGAAGATTAGAGGTAAGAGTCTCTATAAAATAATGCTGAATAGTTACTGCATTTGGTTTGAGATTCAGCAAGATATTGATATCTCCAATAACAAACAGTTGAAAAGCCACAATGTCAAAGACTGAGGGAAAAAAAACAAAAAGATTTTAATGTCTCTCAGACATTATTCATATGATGTTAATGCTCTGCAGACCACCTACTCCATTCCCTAGAGAGAAAGAGGATGCTTAAAAGCTCAAAGATAACATTTCATCTTGTTATGCCCAACATATCTGACTGAGCATTTTCAGAGGTGAGGAAAGCGTTAATTGAACCAAAGGGGAGAAAAGCAGCTTATTCTCTGTAACAGCAGAAGTTTGATTTCCTTCCCAGCTGGAAAGCACAGAAAAGCAGCCAATCTAGCCCACCACATGCCACAGCCATTATCTTAGGAGGCCAGGGCCTACTTCCTGGCTCCATCCATTGCTGGAGGGAATGGGGTCAAAGACAAGGAAGTAAGGTGGGAACCACGGGGCACATAAAAGACCTGTCCCTAGGGAATACTAAAGTCAATGTATTCTTTCCCATTGTTAAGCTTCATGACCAAAATCTTGGATAGCTCAACTTAGAACATTTAAGTTTAGACAGGAAGCAAAATGTACCGGTATACCCAAAGGCAAGTAACGTACAAATAGAGCGGGGATCGGTGCTGTTCAATGTCATCTACGCTTCATCCACATGTTGAGAAATATTACATAACTTGCTTATAGAAGAAACTTTTGGAAGCTAAATTAATACTTTGACGTAAAACTAAAGCTATTCAGTAACCCAATTCTATTTTCAGTAATCGAAAAATAGGAAGTAAACAAAAGAAACCCAAACAACCACCCATCCTTTCAAAATAAAATATTTACTGTAACTCATGAAATGCATCTTCACATGGCTCCAGGTTTCCTGACTTGGGGAGAAGGAAATAACGAGATATAATGGGAGAGGCTCATCTTGTAGTATTTCCAGACAGGCCGAAAGCAGGAAATCCTTACAATCTTCTGAGAGAGCCTCATCTCCCAAGACTGCCAGATCAAAAGGAGCCAGAAATGCTCCCAGATCTGAGCCCTGCCTCTTTCAAATCCTGCAGAGGGGAGGAGGAAGGCACTATCTTGGACTGTGTTTACCCTGAGCAAAAATCATTCTCAAACATTGTGCAATGCAGGAGTGACCTAGGTTATTCTGATGTGGCCTCCACTCTTCCATAGCACTGATCACACTGCACCACGGAGATGTAAGTGAAGATATGCAAGGGTGTTTCCCAAAGCTGAGAAATTCCTGTCCTGTAAAAGTCACTTCTGGGAAAAAGTTTAAAGTCATGTTCATCTGCCTCAAATCCCCTGGGATGTAAAGTTGCATGTACACAAATTAAATAAAATGTCTTTTAAAATCCATCCTTCACTACAGAGATAAATACTTTGCATAGCCAAACAAAATATGATGCAACCCTTACATTCTTCAAAATGACACAGTATTATAGGTATCTCATTAGTCAGGATGCAAGAAAATTAAGATTGTATCAGATTTTCACAATATAAAAGAAAGCATAATTTGTGTTCAAATACTAACTCCATGGATTTTACATTATAAGGATGCTAAGGTGAGTCCCTGGTGTCAGTCCCAAAGTGCAAACTCTGTCAAATCACACAAGCAAAAAAAAAAAAAAGAAAAGAAAGAAAGAAAGAAATGCTGTCCTCCAGGGATGTTTGAGGTAGAGTCTGTTTGCACATAACTGTGTGACTTATTTTTTTATAAAGTGTAAGTCAGAAAAAATAAAGCTCCTATGTACAAAAATACTCCAGAGCCCTTGGTTGTTTTCCCATACATTCTTGTGACAATCTCCTACACTGCTGTAGATAACCTATCTCACCACAGAAACCTTGCTATAATTCACTCTCCAATCTTTCTTGATTTCAAAGATTTCAGCTTTTTCCCCCTCAAACACCAGAAGGCTTTTTAGGAGCCTCCACAGACCATGGGGAGCACAGATTTACCATAGGAAGAGAGATCAGAGCTGAACTAATTGGGCAAAAGCAACGAAACGTGGCCCAAGCTCCAGACCCAACCGGTGAGTCATTTCTCAAAGGAAGCCCCAGGAGAGAAGAATTTTGTAGATTCCGCTTGGCAATCAGCCTTTGGAGCAAGCCTTTTGTCGGACTCGATTCTTCTTTGTGCCTATTGTGTTTTATAACTGGAAAATTAACGTGGGAAATGAATTCTGTTCCACCACTCACCTTGAACATAGACATAGATGACAGAGGCCACGTCAGTGTCCCGGTAGAAGCACTTGTAGGCCCCAGTATCATTTCCGATCACTTTTGGAATTGTGAGTGTCTTACAGAAGAAGTCATCGCTGCACTCCGTCACCTCCACCCTTTCCTCCGAGCCACTCTGACTATTGGGCCAAAGCCAGTCCAAGTCCCTCTGTCCCCTGAAAAATTAATTCCAGGAAGGTATTGATGGGAAATGTCACACCATGAGGCTGCTTCTAAGAAAACAAAAGGTTCCTCAAACTCACATCAACTCCTCACAGACAGATTCAGAGCCTCCTACCAATGACAAGTTGGATTGACAAATGACAAGAGGCCATAGACTCGGCTTCAGGAATCAACTATCAGGAGTCCTAAGTTTTGTACTAATTCACACATTCATTCCTTCAACACATATTTATTGAACATCTATGATGTGCAAATCATTGTTAAGGACAGGGGATATAGCAGCCAATAAGTCAGGCAAAAATCAGTGCCTTCAGAGATTGAGGGAGCTCGGTGGTAAAGCCCCTGCTTATAGTCCATAGCCTCTGGGTCTAATCCCCAGCAACAAGGAAAAGAAAAATCCATGTTCTTATAGAATCTTAGTCTAATGGGAGATAGTCAATTTTAAAATATATGTAAAGCTTCTTGTGTAAAATAAGGATTAGTACTATGCCAAAAAATATAGAAGATAGAAAGAGAGAGAGAGAAAGAAAGAGAGAGAGAGAGCAAAGAGTCCTGGAAAGAAGAAGCTTGATGAAACTGGCCATACAAAAATTGAGAGGAAGAATATTTCAGGCAGAGGGAAGAGTAGAGTCACCTTTACTGGCAAAGAGTAACCAGTTAAGAGTGGGCAAAGCAGGGAGTAAGAGATGAGGTTAGGAAGGAAGGAGGTGGAACTAAGGGCTGATAAGGACCTAGTAAAAACTGCATTAAAGCATAGATTAATTTTATTATAGCATTTCTCTGCAAGACCCCACAGAAAATAGTTAACATCAAGAAGAACACAACCTTATTCAAAGAACTCAAAATCTCCATGAAGTCGTAGCTCTATCAGGGAAGTTACTTTTAACGTGCTCCATGACTTTTTCAGACTCTAAGGAATTTTTATGCAGAGTTTCAAAAGGGAGTGTGGAATCTTGGTGGATTTTAAATAACCTTTGCTTCTGGGAATGTCTTAAATTAGCAAAGCTAAAGAAACGGCACCTGCTACTATGGTTGTTTTTTTTTTTTTTTTTCCCAAGGAGTGGGCATCAGGGACCTTCCATTGAATAAGGGGATACCCTTTCCACTCTGCAATCTAAAAGAGATCTGTGTTATTCTGTTGACCAGTTGGTATTCTGCGAGTATGAAGCAATGTCAATCAGCTGCCCAAGATTCTTTGTGGACCTCAGTACTCTTCTCAGAGGGCAAGCTTGCCTCAATCCATCACGGTCTCTGCCAAAAGCATACTAGTCTTGAGAAGCTTCTGGGTCTTTTGTGAATGATCACTACATTCAATACAAGGTCTTCTAGCTTACTTTCATTTATTTATTTATTTGTTTGTTTGTTTTTTATTTTATTTTTTATTTATTTATTTATTTTTGCTTTCTGGTTAGAAAGCAAAGTTTAAAGCTCCTTTCTTATCCAAGAGATCTGTTTTCCCTGTTATCAAAAATCAATAGCATGACTTCTTGCTAGCCAGTGGGAGGAGAGACATTCCAGAAAAGCAAGCCAGAGCATGAAGTCCGTGACCTGTACAGGACACATACTCAGTAATATCACTGGCTTAATGTTAAACTGCTACTACTGTCAGAATTTTTTCATGAAATAAAGTCCCTATGAAGAACTAAAAAGATGTCCAAAAGCCATACTAAGGAAAATAAATGATGGCTCTTACTTCTTCAGCTCTATTCTATAAAGTTATGTTCTCAAACTTCATTTATTTATTCAATACTCATTGAGGGTCTGCTATATGCCAGATGCTGTACAGATTTTTGATGTGTGTATGTGTGTGTGTGTGTGTGTGGGTGTGTGTGTGTGTGTGTGTGAGAGAGAGAGAGAGAGAGAGAGAGAGAGAGAAAGAGAGAAAAAAAGGGATGCGTGCATACTGAAAAGTAGTAGAAAAATTACCAGCAAAATTGCACACAATTTTTGAGAAAAGACCTTCATTGTGGTTTACATGATTACATCACTGCTTAGAAACCTCACAACTGATGAACAATTACTACAGTGCTATTATAAATGTACTGTAATGGAAATTGTTTTTCCCTTGATAAACAATGAGTTCTTCAACATAGGAAATCTGAATCTAAAATGAATCCTTACCTGCAAGTGATTTGAAGAGTTGTGTTAGCCATAATTGTAAGTATGTCTTTTTGTATGCTGAGCCTGGGTGGATCAAGGGAAACACTAGGCAAACCTAGAAACAAATTAAATAAATGAATGTAGGTGCCATTGAGTTAGACCCCATAGGAAACACCTTCCATAAACAATGCATACTCTACACTTTAAAAGGCCTCTTCAGCAATTCATTGTATGAAACTGGGATTTGCTTTTCACCATTCTCAGTAAAAGTTCACAAGCTGTGTCATAACAGGAAGAATGGGCAGATGGTCATAAACCAACACAACAGTTCTGCAATTCATGGAGCTAGGGTGGAGTTCCTGTTTTCCTGCATTGCCAACTTCAAGGTCTTACAAAAGGATATGGGACATTGAAACCAAATGAACCTTCATTGGATGATCTCAGTCCCTTGGGAAAGGACCCGCTGACATTTCTTATAAAACATAGGATGTACACATTTGACTAAATCGCTGATTAATGAAAATCACTTGGAGGGATTTCTACATAGCTTATCTACATACCCTGAAGGGGTGAGAGTGTCTATGACCCCATCACATTGTCCTCTGTCCATTTTCTAGTGCTGGCAACTGAACCTCAAAGGTTGAGATAATGGCTCATGAAGATCACACATTAAAATGGAAGCAGAGGAATTGAGGAAGAGAAAACATCTCCCAATTTCACACACACATGCATATTAATATAGTTTTCCTTAAAGAGCAGGACTAAAAATAGTGGAATACTAATGAACTTTAAGTGGGAAATCTCAACTTACTAATCAAAGGTCTAAGCTTATCCTGACATCAAGTTTGAAGCCCAAGAAACCTGTCTTTACCTAAAGGCTGAGGAGGAAGCAAAATACCTTCACATGGGTCACTTCATACCAACATAACTGAGTTGAATTCTCTGTCAATTAAAGGAGAGGAGCCAGCAGGTGCTGAAAAGCATCAGAGAAAGAAGAATTGTCCATTCTGCTAGGCTCTTAATGGACATCAATATCTTTAAGGTATCAGCTTAAAAAAGTAACTGATACTGGGCAAGCACCACCACCCCCCACCCCACCCCCCTTTCTAACTCACATCAATTAAGAACAAATGACTCCCTAAGCCTACTCTGGCATTGACTGATGGGAAAATAAATGAGGATGAGCAAATATAAATAAGTGTGAGACAGTACGAGTAAAGAGAGTGTAAGTAAATATCTATTGGAAATGTCTAGTGCATTGAATCTTTGGCTCCCAATGTGAACAACTGGAGGAAAAATGAACAACTGATGGCACAGTTTCTCACACCCACACAAATGTGCAAAATAGGTGGCTGACATCACTGTAGATTTATTCAACAATAATACAGTTTTGAAAAAATACTGGAAATTAAGTTATATCAATAAACCTCAGAAATTAATTGACATCAGTGTTGACTTGTTGTGCTATCCATGATATTCCTAGACCTACAAAATTTGCATTTAAAAAACATTTCAGCTGACCCTAATGTAGAAGGTCTATGAGCCACTCTTGGATAGCTAGGTACCTAGTCATGGACAGTCTGTTTAACTTAATTAGCATTCTTCACCATGAAGGAAATAAATGTCTCCAACATAAGCAAAACATAAAGCAAAGTGTTTAAAAGCAAAAGAAAAGTCTTCCAATAATGGAGTTCCCCTTGACACACTCACTTAATACAATTCACACAAGGATCCAAATGAGAAAGAAACCATTAATTAAACACATTCATGTAAGGAAAAAGTGATAGTAAAATGACTGGCTGCTCAATAAGTTATGTCCACTTCTCCACCAAAGTAAAGTAAAAGACTTGTTTTTGTTTTAATCTTCTGGGTTTTTGTTGTTATTGTTGTTGTTTTTGGTTCTTTGGTAGTCTTGGAGACCAGATCCAGGGCCTCATGCATGCTAAGCAAATATTCTACAATTGCACTACACTCCCCAGCCCCTAAGATACTCTTTAAGTTCTATCATAAATTATTGCCACAGATCATTTCATAGTCCAGACACATTAGCCCATGTAACTTTTTTTAAAAGGCATGTTCTTCATTCATAGGAAGCCAAGACAACACCATACTCTTCTAAAGCCATATCTACAACAAAAATCTATTCAACAACGCTATCAATAATAACTTCAGATTTATCTCTGTAGACCAAGACTTTTTTGTTGTTCTATTAAACTTCATTTGTTTTCATTGGCAAATTTGATTCTTACTCTTCAGAAAGTTCTAAATAAAATGACTGTAAGAGGTACATATGCTACTACTCAATAAAAAGCCCTTTTATGTTCAAATCCCATAACCAATATTAATTAATTTGTGCACTCTTACCCTTCCAGCTCAAAGACGGGCAGGAAAAACAACAGTGGCTCTGTCTCTAGAATTCGATGGCACCAATTATAGCCCAATCCAATTAAGCAAGTTGCACACTCCAAAAGGGCAACCTCACCATTCTATTCAGGGCAACCAGATCACAGTTACTACTGCTGCACTAGGAAACACCCCAGGCTTTAAAGCAACTCACTTCTTTTTGGAATACATGTTCTGAACCTTCATTCTCTTCCAAGAAAGGGGGACAGCAAGGCATTGAGGTCTTGGCAGGGACAAATGGGTGCCCATGGTGGAGCTAGCCCCAATGAACCAAGTCATTATTAGGAAAATTCAATAAATGTAGACAGATGATCTTGGTACTGTAGGCGAGTACCAGTGTCTTTTAAGACATAGGATTCTTTTCTTTTAATATAAGGAATTTTTTACTCCCCCCCCCCTTCTCTCACCCTCTTCCCTTTCTCATCCTCCAAAGGGTGGAAATCTGGAAATTGGAAAACTGTAGCTATAGAAATGAGCGGGGTGGGGAGGAGGAGAGAACGGGAGGGGGGAGAAAAAATAGGAGGAAGAAGGGAGAGCTACAACACCAAGACATTGTGTGTTCCTCATCTAAAGGAGAAGGAAATTTTGCCTGACAAGGAAAGCAGCCCTAGAACTAGGTACTAAGTTCTGCAGAAGTTCCCAGACCTGAACCTCTGATGATTCTCTTAACCAAAAGACCAATGATGTTAAATTGTTTGGCACAAAAGATTGATAGTCACTTTGAGACCTTAGGGAATCTGTCACGGACCTGCGGACAAGTCCTAATGTCCTCCCTCCTCTCTCTGTTAGAAAAGCGTCATCCTGCACCGAAGAAGCAAAGAAGTCTCCCTCCGTTTGGACCCCACCTTGTAGGATAGGTGCGCATGTGTATTCCAGCTAAAAGGGAGCAGCAGCCTGAGGGCCCTTGCTCCCTTTGGGACCTAGCAGAGAGCACTGTGAGATCCTGATAGCCAGATTTGCGCTCCCTTCAGGATGTTGTGTACAAACCAGCAAAAAGGTTTCACCGCCTGTTCTTGCCTGCGGGAGCACCTCCCGCCCTCCAGACCAAGGCACCTTCCCACTCTAGCCTCCCCAGAGCCCGAGGGTGTTTCGGCTCCGCTGGACACGCTCTTAGCGAGGCCCCATAAGATACCACAGTCCTGAAAAGGGAACTGGACTAGAGCTCAGGAAAAGGAGTAACCTTGGGCCAGTCTCTGAGCCTCAGTTTCCCTTATAGATAAGTGAAAGAATCCAAAGTGTCAAGTCCTAATTTCTCTGGCTGTATGATTCCAAGTTAGATTTCACATGCCCATCTCACCGCCCGCACCCGACCTCTCCGCCTTCTCCTACTGAGTGGGCTCCTTACCCACAGTGGTGGCTCGGGTCTCCACGCAGAGCCACAGAGCGATGGCCAGCAGCGCCTTGCTCTCCATCCTGCACCTGGAGCGGGGCATAGTGCCCAGAACTCAAGCGCAGGCTCTTTCTGACCTCGCCTGTGGTGCAAAGAGGACGCAGAGGTGGAATGCGCTCCCCAGCGCAGGACCCCGGGGTACTCAGGGCAAGGACGCCCTGACTCCGGCCGCAGCTGCAGGGGCTTCTGCGGGTGCGGGCAGGAGGAGTTATGCTGGCTGTGGGAGGGAATCTGGACTCTCTGTAGTGCGCAAGTAATGTCCTGCTCGGGCAGAAGAAACGCAGTGTTCAAGCCTGCTCTCCCGGAGTCCCGGGACTCAGTGCCCGGTGCGAGCGCGGGCTGAAACTCTAGATCGCGGGGGCAGGGCCTTGTGGGCGGGGCGAGGCGGAGCTCCCCTGCGACCAGCCCAGCAGAGCACTGGGTATCTGGCCTCGATCCCCAGCTCGCAGCGCGCACTACATCCGGTGATACAGCACCTGTCCTGGACTGTGCCACGAATCGCCTCGGGGTAGAAAGTCCCAGTGCTAAAACTTCGTTTCTGGTGGAAATAAATTGTAGCCGATAACGGGCTCTAAGCCTCCCCCCCCCCCAAATTCAGTCGGTTGCTGACCCAGGGAATCTGGGGAGCATCCGCAGAAGCTCAGCGAAGGACACTGCGCCCTCACCAGGCTCGTCAAAAAGCGGGACCTTCTTGGTCGCTGCAAGCGTCCCAAGTGGCAGAGGATCCGCTGCAGTTTCGGACAGCCAGTGAGAAGTACATAATGAGACTACACTTACTCGGGTCGTAAACTGGCAGTGACTCAGCCAGTAGTTTTGAGTTCTGTACTGAGTGCTCCTTGTAGACAACTTTGGCCAGCACGATGGTTTTAAAAAATCCCAATCTGAACGGCTTTATTTAGAAAGTTCGCTTGTTCAATTTGCCAATGTCCCCGCTATTTCCTCGCCTATCCCGTAGCTTCAGATATTTTGAAGTTACCTGCCTAGACCCAGGAAGCACGTCAGATCGGGACTCCTGCCAGGTTCTCACCAAACACCTACAGGAGGGCTCCCTGGAACTGGAGGTGCTCAGGGCTCCAGCACAATAGCGGCAGGGACATCACGGGTCCTTCCAGTGAGGATGTCCTCGTGGAGAGGCTTTTGTCCACTGTGCTCCCAGGCGAGGAACTTCTAGCATGACTGTGACCAGGCCCTTTTCAGAGCAGAGCTTTTTCCAGCCAAGATATCCTTCTGCTAGCACAGGGAAAGGCACTTGGCCAATTAGTGTAGCTGAAGGAACAATGAAACCAAGGCTCCTAGACTCTGGGGACCCAGGACACCCTCACCAAATTTAACCACTTTCTCGTCTGTAGACGTCACGTGGCGCTGTTTGGAGGGGAACCCTGGTTCCTTTTAGACCATTTGTTCCTTCTTTTCTCTCCATTTCTTCCCACATCTGAGGGGCGACATCAGATGTCCCCTAACTTGGTCATATAGTCTTTTACTTCATATATATGCAGGTGCTATTTAAATGACAAGTTGAACATCGTTCAGCAAGATGAAGACACACACACAATCATTGTTTCTATATCTAATTCAAACCAGATTAATTGTACACAATTATTGGAATCTGTTTCCCCTCTACATTTAAATGTATTTACTATATTTACTCTTTTACTTTCCGGGTTGACAATTGAAATATTTTAACAGTGTCTGAAGTGCAATAGTGTATATTATGGTTACATTTTTGAGAAGAAAAAAAAAAGTTTTGGAGTTGAAGGATCTTCCTTAGGCAGTCAAGCATTTTTATGATTCCTTTTTCCAAGCACATATAGGTATAGGTATTTCCCACCCTTCTTTTTACAAATGGTAATTTGGTGTAAACACTATTTTAAGGCTTCACTTTATTTTATTTTATTTATTTACTTTAAAATATATCTTGGAGATTATTCTCCCTCAGTCCTTCTCATTATTTTAACACCATTAAAAATATTGTTCCATTGTGTAAATGTACTAATATTTTTCTAGGTGTTTATTGTGGGGAGAGGGAAAGATCCTTAAAGAAACTCTCTCTGCTAATTTAGCAAATAAACCAGGATGGGGTCTGGCAGAGCTGGATAAAGAGAAGGGAGGTAGATCCCATCTTGGAGAAGGAAGGCAATGTTTCTCCATCTCCATCTCCAAACAGTTCTTCTCTCTGGAAGCCTTATTTACAATTCATGACACTTCCTCTTCCATGTCTTACTTAAGAAGATAGTGTCTCCTCTAAATGCAAACCAGAACCTGCAGGCCCCATGGTAATAGCCCCTTTAGAAGTCTTAGAGGAAATGATGTATCTTTGATGGCCACAGGACCAGAATTTGGCAGGATCTCAATGAAATCAGTCTACCACATTCCCTCCCACACAGCATTTGGAAATGCCTTGTGATTGTGAAAAATGGCAAAGTCTGTTAAAAAAAAATATATGTCTCATGTGCTGTGACTCCCATTTTCTGGCATTGCAAAGGAGTGATATTTGTGAGCTAATTTGCTGTTATAAGATGGCCATCACCTAGCAAAGTCTCCCAAATATATTCTGTGTTCCATAGATGATACTCAGAGAAACTGCAGAGGAGTGACTAAATGCAGTCTCCGGGGCCAGGCTGCCTGGGTTTGGCTCCCAAATATATATCACTTACTGTCTATATGATATGGTCTAACTTACAGGCTATGCAAAAGATTATGATAGTGTTTTATCCATAAGGTTTCTACAAGAATTAAGTGAATTAATATATACAAAATACTTAGGACTCAGAAGCTAGCATTCCCAGACACAGTGTTCACCATGAAAAACATTCTGTGAAGCTTGGTTATACTATTAGAGTGCATGGACTCCTTCAATAGCCAAGATCCAAACTGCAGATAAGGCTTACTCGTTCCTTTTTGAGCACTTACTATGTGTTAGGCAGTATTCTAGGAGCACACATTACAATGATGAAAATAATGGTAATAGGAACAGTCATCACAACAACTTCACCCAGGGCAAATTTAATATAACCACAGAATAGTTTTCATCTCTGGCTATTTTTTTGGATCTGTGCACACAAAATATACGATGTGCACATCCAACACACTGAATATATTACACTCTGATCCCCAAATTTTATTTCAACACTACCAGTACTTTGTACTTCATATCTTAACAAGTACATGTGAGAATGGGCAAAGATTAATAATTGAGGAAGTTGGGAGATAACTGCATAAAGATTCATTCTTCTATTCTATTTGTATATTTTAGAAATTTTCCCCTATAAAACTTTTTGTTGTCATTAAGTATAATCAAAGTGATGCCCAATTCAGTAAAACACTACTGACTCTCACTGAGTCACACTCAACGTCTTGATACGGTAAAAACAAGGATTGGGAGTGACCTCAAGCATAGCTTTTCATTGTCTCAGACACTGCTTTCTTCATTTGTAAATGAGAATCATTTACTGTACCCCAAGGATTGTTATGGGACTCCAGTGAGATGGTTTCATGAAGATGCTCTATAAACTGTACGACACTTTCTACTGATGGTTGTGGTAGTGACAAAGATTTCCTCAATAGAGCTTCATTTCTTTCCTAGTAATACTGGTTACCCAGGTCTTTAATTAGCTGACTGATATCTGCTGCTCACACTCTCATTTCCTGAAAATTGTTTTCAACATGAAGAATATCAACAGCTCAAAACTATTCCCTATCATTTTTGGGCATAGAGATAAGGAAGTAGTATACAGAGAGATAAATATACAACAGAAAATTTTGCAGCATAATACACATCAAACAAATTTCTGCCTCTGGGAAATCATGAGGTGGAGGCAGGTGAATAGGAACTCACATTTTTGCTTTGTATATTTCTATAATTTTTTTTCAAAACAAAAAGTGTTACTTTCACAAATACAAATAAAAATTAGGATCCATTTTCCTTTCCAATGGCTGTTATATTTTCAAATATTGCCATTTATTGGTTACATATTTATATGACACTTTCTCATGTTTACTGCATTTAATTTGTTTCCCATATCAGTTGCTGTTGTAACTTATCAGAGCCTGTCACTATCTTGCCAGATGTTGGCTCGGTTTCATAATCCATCCATACTCATAACTCTGTTGCACTGGAAGAATGCATGTAAAAACCCTCATTTCTTGTTATCTGTCTTCTTAACACACTCAGTTTTATTTGAATCACTGTGTGATTTATATTTTTAACTTATAATATATGTTTATGTACAAGGAATAGAAAGCTAAGTCACCATAAAGTCAAGCTAGCCTTGGATGTTTCCATCAGGGTTCAACTTCATTCATAATATCTTACATTCTAATAAATATAAAACCAACTCTTCATATTTTTTGTTAAACAGGTTAAACATCTTCACTTCTTGCTATGTGCAAAGGAAAATTTTCAGTTATTATAATGTATGTTACCTACAGTGCCTGCCCCAAACTCTTTTAGTTTCTTGGAATATCTCATATTAAGGATAAGAGTAATCATTTAAAAGTCTGTAAAGGATGCATGGAATTTAAATAATCAACCCAAAGTTCACACAGCACCAGAGAAAGATGCTAGAAAATGTTAAGAGTAGCCAACAATTGCTGAGCACATCATTTGAGCTGACACTCTTCCAAACACTTAGTTTTGTTCTTCACTTCATCTCCACTATACCCCACAAGGACAGCAAGTACCATAAGTACTCCTTAGAAGAGAAGAGATACTTTATTCTTAATGTAAGTATATAATCCTTTGCCTTCTTAAAAATCTAGCAAAGGAGAAAGTGTTGTATCTTTTTGCAAGCAATTAATGCTGTTTTTCACCATTAGTTATCAGTATGATGAAAGTCAAGACACTCTGCATTTTAAAGTAATAATAAAAAGAAGTAGATTTGGCGATCACTTATTGTGTGCCAGGTATTTTCTTCAGATGACCTTATGTAATGTTCACAATCTCTCAGTAGAAAGATACTATAATTATATTAGTCCCGCATAAGGGCATGGGGATGAGGTTTAGGGGATTTTAGAAACTTCTTCCAAAGTCTGACAACTGTAAGTGGTGAAGCCAAGATTTAAAAGATGTATGAAGCTTTCAGGATAAACCCTACCCCAAGCACATACAGCTGAGGTCTGATCTCATTCAAGACATGAAGCTAGGTGAACTGAGGCCACCAGTTTCCTCTGCCTCCCCCCAACAATCACTTCCATTTTCCTAAGCAGATGGAAGGCCAGAACTGACTTTAAAAGGGTATTCTGAAGAATGAAAGGCAGGTAATTAGACCTCCTCCTCCATACCCTGGTGAACCCCAGGCACAATGAAT